TTGTGTGTATGTAGGACAAATGTGTCCTCTAAGCTGCACAGCACGGCGAGGAAGAAACTCAGCTCAAAGAATATTTTAATAGGAATTTATTATTTTGTTTGTATTTTTTAGATTTATATATGTTTATTTAGTTGAAATTCAAAGTTACAGAGAGAGCAAAGTCAAAGATGGAGAAAGCCATCCTCCCTCTGCTGGTTCACTCCAGCGGCTACAGCAAAAGTTTCTCTCCATACACACATAATACACACACACACACACACACACACACACACACACACACACACACTTTCATAGAAAAATTCACCAGCCATCCTTTGGAATGATTTGTGAAAGTTTGTTTTCTGTAAACCATCTACATGGAGTTGTTATTAAAATGATAATGTTACTAAAGTACTTGGTATTATGGCACAAAATTAGACATCACAAACCTATGAAATCTGATTGGTCCCACTGTTAGGGGAATGCTGTGCGCTGCACACAGAGCACAGGAATCGGTTCCATGTGTGCCACCAGACACAGAGCAGACCCCGGGAGGCCCCGTGTCCCCAGCTGATGCGCATTCCTGCTTGACCACGGCGTTACATAAATGCTGTGCATGCTGAAGATAACACAGCAGGTTATAACTGGATCTAAAAACTTTACCCTTGTCCCTTTCTCAGTGTGATGGAACTAAGGCTGAGTTAGAGTACCTGTAGAAAAGATAGAGCCCAGCACGATAGCTCCGTAGCTAAATCCTTGCCCTGGGTGCTCTGGGATGCCCATGTGGGCACCAGTTTATGTCCCAGATACTCCACTTCCCATCCAGCTCCCTGCCTGTGGCCTGTGGCCTGGGAAAGCAGTCGAAGACAGCCCAAAGCTTGGGACCTGCATCCACTTGGAACACCCGGAAGAGGCTTCTGACTCCTGACTTCTTATCGGCTCAGCTCTGGCTGTTGCAGTCACTTGGGGAGTGAACCAGCAGATGGAAGGTCTTTCTGTTTGTCTGTCTGTCTCTCTCTGTAAATCTGCCTTTACAGTAGAAATAATAAATCTTAAAAAAAAATCTTAGGAATTTTCTTTGTGGCCTTGTGGGTGACTCATACTAAGGAAAACAGGTAGAAGACGCATTATTATCAACTCTTAAAAAAATAAAAATAATCAACTCTTAAGTTAGTAAGCCAAATTAACCTGTGCAAATTAAATTTCAACTGGAGGCTTTGCTAACAAAATATTTGTAATATACACATTGTTGCTGAACAGAAACTTTTAAATAAAGTTTGTTATTATGAGGCATATAGAAGAAGGTGTGAGCCTTTGTTTGGTTTGAGATTTGGAAGCTTCCTTGGAGTGAGTTTCTTAGTGCTGTTATCCGGTGGCTTCTAGAACTTGCACTTGCCACGACTTGAACCTATATTTTGTGGTTTTGTCTTGAAACAGCATACTTACATAAGTACTTAGCCTCCTCATCCTTCTGGGTCAGAGAGCACTGAAGTCCAAAATAAACATTTCCCAGGAGTCTTCTGCAAAGTCAGATCCCTCTAAAGAAAACAAAACAAGCTGAGTGCACCTGCTGTTTCCCTTTTCCTAGGAAAGGTGTAAGATTAGGATGGTCACCTAAGCATTTTCTGGGAGAGGTTGACCAAGGCACTGCTGTTCTTCCCCCTCTCCTTGGAAAACTACCCTGACAATGAGTAACCAAGCCCCAAGCCCCAGCAAGCCTGGGACAGCACTCCTCAGTAGCTCGGCAGCCTCCTCTGCTGAAAGCCAGACGTGGTGGACTTGTGTCCCTTCCCAAAGGCCAAGGTGCACTTGTGAGGATCTGAAGTTAGAGGTTCGTGCCAAGCTGCTGCTGCGGTGCGCTGCAGTGCCACGGGACTCCCAGAAGCCTCCCCGCGTGCGGGCGGAGTTCCGCGTTGGCTGGGGTCAGCGCTTGGAGCTGTGAGCCACAAGTGGTGGACGAGGGACTGCCAGGAAGTGGCGTTCTGTCCGACAGGACGCGAAGCTAGCTGCTTCATCTAGGGAATGGCAGAAGTGAGGCGGCCGGAGCAGACGCGGGGAGTGGAAACCGCGCACTTGGTATCCGCGGGTGGAGCCCTCTGCTGGGCCGAGCAGGCAGGCCGCGCTCTTCCGACTTGCAGCACCATGTTGAGAGGCGCGGAGGCAAAGGCTTTGACCTTCGCTTGTCCTCGGCCGTGCGGTTGGCAAGTGGGTCACGACGGAACTGCTGAGAAACGGCCGCCTGGGGATCCGAGGCCAGCGGCTGCGCGTGGGAGTGGCTGGAATGTTCCTTCCTGCAGAGACGCAGGCAGGCTCGGTTATGGGCTGGCATGCTGGCATCGGGTCTGTGACGGCAGGTGAGGTGGGCTGTGCGCTGGCAGGGAGAGGAGGCAACTTCGGGGGAGCCGCAGCCCGCTTCCTCCGGGGAGGCCCGACTGTGGGCGCTCGCGCGTTTGCTGAGTGGAGAGAGCGCCCTGGCTGGAACAATGAGAGCTGACCCCTAGGGGAAGGGCGTGGACTCAAGGACAGACGTGGACGCGGTCCTGGCGCGCGGCGGCGGGCGGAACGGGTTAAAGCCCTGCCCGCGCCTGGCGCCTTCCGAAGTCGGAGGAGCCCTCCGGGGGCCGGCCCTGGGCTCTCGGATTGCGGCGGCGGTGGGCGGGAGCTGGGGCGGAGGCGGCCCGGGCCCTCCCCGGCAGCGCCTGGCCCAATCACGAGGAGCAGAGCGGGCGCCGTGCCCACCCCCGGCGGCTCTGCAGCAGAACGGCTGGGCCCTCTGCCTGGCTCGCTCCCTCGAGCTCGGCTCCCCCTCCTGCCATCTTCCGTTGCAAAGCATTTCTGGGAGCTGCATGTGGGTGACGCAGCAGCATTGTTCGCAGGCACAGGAAGCCGCGGCTGAGCCGAAGGGCTCGGAGCGCTGCACGCCGCTCCTCTGCCCGGGCGGGAGGGTTCCAGCCCGACCGCCCTGCCTTGTGTGTTCTGAGAGCTTCCAGGATTTTCAAGTAAATCAGGATTTTCCTAGAGGCAGAAAACCTAACTCCTTCAGCACAACTTCTAAGACAGAAAACAAAGCAAAGACGGTGGGGAAACTTCACCCAGGAGCCTCGGCAGCGCCCGAGCGACCAGAAGCGCAAGGTCAGGCGGGCGGTTGGCAAAGCCTTTCTGGTGTGGGGAGTGTGTAACTGCAGGGACTTTGTCTCGGCCAAGAGGGGGGAGAACTGCCGACAGGGCGAGTCCAGGACAATGCTTCTGTGACTTGGGGCTGCTCGAGCGGTCGTTGCACTTGTTCCCTCACCTGGCGGGACCCTCACCTGGCGGGTCGTGCTGCAGAAAGGAGTCGCTTGTCTTTTGGGGAACCCCCTTTCCTCCTGCCTTCTCTCCCTGTGGGATGTGGGCCTGTGTTTGAATGTTCCTCAGTGCCTGGAGCCCAGATAGGCGTCAGCCGTTGCGCACTCCACCCCCGCTCTGCCATCCCGAACCCCGTCTGCTGAGGGGCGGCTTTCTCCGGGGGCCTCAGCTGGACTCTGCCTTTTTGGATGAAAGCTGGGCGTGCTGGTTCGAAGGGCCCCGGCGAAAAGGCTTGGAAGGAAATCTGCATTTCCCTCCACACCCACGCAGAGCGCGGGGACTGAGTCGGGTCTGTGTGAACAGCGGCCCCCCACCTCCGACAGTTTCCCCACCCCTTGTCTGTCCCTCTCGCCAGGAGTCTTACGGGGAGGTGTAGGCTGCTTGTGCCAGTGTGCAGTTAAGTTCCTCTACTCGCCGAGCTTTCCTGTACCGCCTGTGTTGCCGAGAGTGGAAAGTCCCTGTTTGTGGACAGCGCGGTTTGCTCCCACAGAGGAAATGGGCGAGTCCTGCTCCGGCGGGGCGCTGGGGGAGGGGAGCCCTGGGTCCCAGTACACGTTTTGAATGGACCTGAATTTTTCACCCCAGAAAGATAAGGAGCCCATACTGGAGCCCCGTGCCACGTGGCACCACACCCCACCTCTTCACCCCCCACGCAGTGTGGAGCCCGCAGGAGGTGCCAGGATAGGGTGCCATAGCAACACGAAGTAAATAAAACGGCTGCAGATGGAGTCAGTTTGGGGGAAGGTGAGAGGCATCTGGAGACTTGGCCAAAGCGAGTGTGCCTGGGGGAGCTTCAGGGTTAGCTGCAGGCTCTTTCCAGGTCCCTGCTCTGGGCCTGGCACAGGCTCGTGAGGTGGAGGAGGAGCGAGCCCTGGCGTAAACACCGGGTCCTCAGAGTGATGGCTGAAGGTGGCCGTGGCCGGGCGCTGCTCTGTGAGACCCTCCCGTGCTGGGCACCGCCTGGGCAAGCTGCGCCAGGATTTGCATTCTTTTGCTGCTGGCCTTGCCTTAGGGCCCCCACGGTCAGAGGAGGGAAGGTTTCAGTCTGCTGGAAGGTTGGGCTTCTGAAATTTTTAAAACATAAAAGGTTTCTTTCAAAATAACAGTTGACCAGTGTGAGACACTTAAATGGTAGTAACCACTTAACTTTGTAACATTGTTCCCAGTCATTCAGACTTGATTAGTTAAACTGTTACCTCTAAGATTGCTCCTGCCGATTGGAGGTGTGTGAGAGAGGTGAGACTGAATGTGATTAGCCTTAGAACGACAAATCCTGGGTTGAATCACAAGACTCCTCGCTTCTCAGCCTTTGGCCTAGTTCAAGTGTAGGACATTAAGGCTTTGGTGTTCCTCTCATTAATTCAGTGTTGGCCAGTGTGCTCACGACTGCACCAGAAAGCAAAACTTCATCAAGTCCACTGGAACCTGACGGCGACAGTGTGAATGTGTGGCATTGCTTGACCCACTAGCCAGTCGCCTCGGTGTGAGTTGGGGGCAAAGGTTCAATTTGAAGTCTGGATAGGACCACAAGTTTTATTTCCTCATGGAGTTACTGCCTTAGCAGAATCTGTGTGAAGGGGACTTAAGCAGTAGCTGTCGTTGGCTTTCCTCGCTGGGGAGCTGGGATGGAGGGGACCCATGGCTCGGCGCTCACTCTGCCCCACTCTTGCCTCTAGGTTTTACTGGAGGAGCTTGCCAGCAGCGATCCCAAGTTAGCCCTCACTGGCGTCCCTATAGTACAGTGGCCCAAAAGAGACAAGGTAAGAGACCATTCTCACTGGCTGCTGGGCTGCAGGCTCCGCTCTGTGCGTGGGGCGGGAGGCAGCCAGGCAGTTTTTGGTGCACTAACACAGGTAGTCAGAACCTCATGATTCGATTGGTTTTTGACTCCTAGGTCAGGGTGGTGGCTGTCGGAGGTGTCTCCCTAACAGAAGTGTCAGACTGGGGGGCTCCCTATAGATTTATATCTCGAGTTTTGTATTTTTCAGCCCAGTGGGTGAGCGCCTCCCCTCTGACCCAGTGAGTCAGCTATGGTCACGGATGTGGTCTAAACCTATTTAAAGTAATCACCTGTATGTTTTTAAAAGATGGGGGGAGATTTGTTTTTTGCTACAGGGAGGCCATGCTTTCAGGATTCCTGGATTGGAGATTTTTCAATTTGGAATTGAAAAGTGAAGAAAAGCCTCACCGTCAGCTGGTAGAGTCTCAGGCCTCTACAGTTGTATTTCCATATTGTGCTCTGCCAGGCTTATGTATTAAATAAATGATAGTGTCTCCTGACCGGGAAGTAAATGAGGCCTCCCTCGCAGGTTCCCGGCCGTGGGTGTGCTGGCAAAGCAGGCACATTCAGAACCCTCCTCTTCCTTCCTTCCTGGGAGAGGAGTCCCACATAACCTCAGAGCAGTCTAGACATTTCTCATGGTGGAGGCTTGGTGGGGAAGGTAGAGGGTGTAGACCAGCCCTCGCCTTACCCAGGGAGATGGAGCTTGGCACTTGCCATGTACCAGGTCACCCGCTTGGATGCAGAACTCTTGAAGTGAGCAAGACCAGTTTCTCATTCGGGGGGTTTCAGTCTTGCTAGGGGTCCTATTCTGAGTGGTCGAGATGAGGAAACCAGGTGGGGAGCATCTGGCGGGCTGGCACATCTTCCTGTAAAAGCTGAGGTGGTAAACATTGGAGTTTTTGCAGACCGTAGCCGCAGTGTCTCAGGTCTGCATTGACACGTGTCGGCAGTCCTGATTTCTGTAACAGCAGGCCAGCATTTGCCCAGCCTGGGTATGGGTACACTACCATGTAATAGTCTACCCTCTCGACAGAGTTACCCTCACTGCTCTCTCTCTCTCAGCTTAAATTCCCCGCCCGGCCGAAGGTGCGGGTCCCGACCATCCCCATCACAAAGCCTCACACCATGAAAGCAGCTCCACGGCTAACGCCCGTGAGGCCAGCCGCTGCCTCCCCGATCGTGTCAGGAGCCAGGCGGCGGCGAGTGCGATGCCGGAAGTGCAAGGCCTGCGTGCAAGGAGAGTGCGGCGTCTGCCACTACTGCAGGGATATGAAGAAGTTCGGGGGGCCTGGGCGTATGAAGCAGTCCTGTGTCCTCCGGCAGTGCTTGGCAGTGAGTGATCTGCAGGGGATTTGGGTGGCGGGTGGCGAGTGGCGACACCAGAGGCCCTGCAGTGCACGCGGTGTTCAGAGTGCAGAGGTGGAGAACGCAGACACGCTGGCTTTGCATGCTTCCTCTCTGGATCAGAAGGAAGGGGTCTGCTAGTAGTTTCCTGCTTAATACTTTGGCCTTATTTGCCCTGTTTTTAAACAAGGGACTGTTATTTGAATGGCAAATCACTACTGTCCCCTCTCTGAGTGGTTTAGAGAAGACCTGTTTAAACAAATCAGAAGGACCTGTTAAGGCCAGAACATGCCAGCTGGAAAACAGTCTGTGGGTCTCGTTCCTGTGCAGTTGTGTATCCCTGCCTCTTCCCCAGGGATCTTTTCCTCCCAGAAGCCTCTGTTTGCTCCACCCGGTGGGGACAGAGGGAAGAAATTCCCCACCTTTAGTCCAGGCAGGCAGAAATGATGTGGCTGAATCTGCTGTCTTGTCCCTTGTAGCCGAGGCTGCCTCACTCGGTCACGTGTTCCCTCTGTGGGGAGGTGGACCAGAACGAGGAGACCCAGGACTTCGAGAAGAAGCTCATGGAATGTTGCATCTGCAACGAGATCGTTCACCCTGGCTGCCTGCAAGTGAGGAGGGCCCGGGACCCTGAGGGGGCAGGCTGCCCCCAACCTGCCTGGGGAGGTGGGGCTGTCTGCAGACCCTCAGGGGAAGGGGGGCGGAAAGTAGACTTGGCTCCTGCATTTGCGTTCCCTGGATTCTCATGGGGCTGCGCGCTCAGGGTCAGGCCCAGTGTAGCTGAGGAGCTTTAACAAGTAGTAAGGACCTGGAAACCTCGGCCTCCAGCGTGGGGTCAGCTGGCCTGGCATGTGCCCTGGCTTCCCACGGATTCGCAGCGATGCCCATGTGGTGTTTGATATGCCATCCAGGGCACTGCAGCTCCACGTGTATTCACAGCTCATCCTTTAAGACGGCCCTGGAAACCGACTTGTATTTCTTCCTGGTTTTTTTGTTTGTTTGTTTGTTTGTTTGTTTGTTTGTTTTTAAGTACCTGGGGCTTGAATTTTCTTGGCCAGGAAGTGTCCAATGGGACTGCTTCCAGGCCAGGCATGATTATAAAGCATTGTCAGTTGGTGAGAAGCATCCCAGTCTCAGAATTGAGAACATCATGTCCTTGATGACCCTGGTGGTCAAGACAAGGCAGCCAGGATAGTAGCAGGTGCTTTGTAGGCGCTGTGTGATGTGTGTATGATACAGGAGTCATCCTCCACAGCCCACTAAAGTGAGTGGCATGTCCATCCCCATTTTACATTCTTCTTGGAAGCCAAGCACAGCTATGGCCTACTGTCAAGGGCCAAGTTTGGTGTCACTGTCATGAGACTTTCAGGAGAGCAAACCTTAGGCCAACACAGGCACTCGTCATGAACTTCACTTGGATGGGATAACCCACCGGCAGGCAGGAGAACAGGAGTTAGTGTCCCCTCACAGAGGCGCATGTTCTGAAGCCATAATAACCAACTTCTCAGCTGTATGCTTCTTTGTTCATGTTGGACTGAGAGCAAGCCTTTCTCTTGCTTTACCATCCCTGTCTCCCTGTAGATGGATGGAGAAGGGCTGCTGAATGAGGAATTGCCAAATTGCTGGGAGTGCCCTAAGTGCTACCAGGAGGACACCTCGGAGAAGGCTCAGGTAACCGACCTTTCCCAACTGCACTGCGCTGCTCCATCAGCATGCCATGTGGGTGTTGAGGGAGATTATTTGGGGCTGGTTTGATATCTTTTTTTTTTTTTCCTTTCGTTAATTTGTTTTTTGGTGTGTGTGTGTTTTTTTTTGTTGTTGTTGTTGTTGTTGTTTTTCCTGTTTGCATTGTTACCTCATTTTTTTGTTTTTCGAAGTCAACTTGTATCTGAAAATTCTAGAGATTCTTGGTGGTTTCTGGGGCCTAGAAAGCATCTGGCCTCTTTGAGGAGGGCAGTTAGGCCAGCTGACACTGCTGAGGAATGTAAGTTTATGGGAGGAGGCCGGAGGCCACAGCCAGCACGTACAGGTGGTGTGCCCGAGTTTCCAGTTAAGCAAGTCCACATTTTTGTCTTCTTGTGGCCTTCCGGAAAGTCCTGCCTCTCCCTTCGAGGGCTGTGGCACCATGACCTTGTCCCAGAGCAGCCACAGCTGCCAGCCCAGTTGATGCCAGCAGTGTGGATGAACCAAAAGGATTCTGGTTACTGGCCTGGCACTTGTACAAGCAGCAGCTGGCCTGGTGTCTGTCTGCAGGGTTTTCTGCAGAGACCTGCCACGGCACCCAGGAAGTAGACACAAGAACGTTTCTTCCTTATTTGAGAGGCAGAGGGCAAGAGCTCGCTGGATCACTTCTCAGTGCCTGCAGTAGCCCGGGCTGGGCTGGACGAGAACCAGGAGCCAGGATCCCCCTGTCTGTCTCCCTCGTGGGTCACCTGTTGGAGCATGACCTGCTGCCTCCTGGGTGCACAGAAGCAGGAGGCTGGATCGGATTTAGCAGAGCTCAAGACTCAAATCTGGGGTGCAGGTGTCCTAAGCTGTGGCAAACACCCAACCCTAAATTCATTTGAGGGCAAGGATTTCTGGAGCTTACTGGTTTTAAATTGCTTCTTCTGGTTGTTTTGATTAAGATTGGTTTTCACACTCCAAATGGGGACAACAGCCAGGGTGGGGCCCGTCTGAACCCAGGAGCCAAGAGCTTCATTCAAGTCTCTCACATGAGTGGGGCGGCCCAGATATTTGGACTGTCTTTCACTGCTTTTCCCAGAAAGCTGGATTGGAAGTGGAACAGATGAGACTTGAACTAGTTGTTACTGGAAATGCCAGCATCAAAGGCATGAGCTCACCCTGCTGTGCGTGTCACGGGCTCTGCATGAACACATTGATTGAGATACTGTGTTCTGGGGTCCCTTTAGCTCCCCGAAACGGTCATCATCCTCATCCATCTTCAGAGCTCAAACAAGGGGAAGGAGCAGAGAACGGGGTTGTTGCTTTGGAACACAAAATACCTCCTTAAGAAAAGGAGGGGATGCACTGTGGTATAACAGGTTAAGCCTCTTAATGCCAGCATCCTGTATGGGCATCAGTTGGAGCCTCAGCTACTCTACCTCTGGTCCTGCTCCCTGGTAATGCACCTAGGTCCTTGGGCACTCCTGCGCCCGCATGGGAGACAGATGAAGCTCTGCGCTCGCTGCGTTGTCCTGGCCAGGCCAGTCATTATGGCCACTTGGGGAGTGACCGGCAGATGGAAGACCTCCCATACACATGGTACTTTGAGCCCTAGCTGTTCTACTTACAATCCAGCTCCCTGCTGGTGCACCTGGCAGGACAGCAGACAATAGCCGAAGTCCGTGGGCCCTGCCACCCAGGAGAAAGGCCTGGAGGAAGCTCCCAGCTCAGTCTCGGGTGTCACATCTGTCGCGCCTTTAGGAATGAACCAATACATAGAAGACTCTCTCTCTCTCTCTCTCTTTCTCTCTTTGTCTCTTTCTCTCTTTCTCTCCTTCTCCCTGCCCCCCGGGGTGTCGCATCCACTTAGGAATGAACCAATACAAGACTCTGTTTCTCTCTCTCTCCTTTTCTCCTCCTTTTAAATTTTTAAAAATACATCTTTAAAAATAAAAAAGCACTTCTGTTGGAAAAAAGAACTAAAAATGACCAGACTTCATGGGGTGGAGTTGTGGTCTGTTTACAAAATACTTTTATCCTGGGAATTATAATCTGGAAATCGGGAGGCCCAAATTTGAGTCTCCCTCCTCAGTATTTGGATATGGACTTTTTGTCATGGATTGCTTTCCCAGGTGATGCATGTGAGGGCTTTGGGCTTCACGTCAGCATTCTGTGAGGTTGAGACAAGGAGCCTGAGCGCTCGGTGCCAGTGGCCTGTTTCTCTCTGACCCCCTGGGCATGGCAGTAAGGCACTCGGCCCTGTGTGTGTGCCAGGTTGTGAGCCACCAGCCCGTGTGCCTTAGAGGACCCACAAAATCACCTGGGCGGGCCCTGACAAGGCAACACCACATGCAGGCCTGGAAATTCAAACAGTTCACAGCAGGCTGGTTTTGAAGCTGGTGCTTTGTGTGGCCCACAATGTTGTTTGGCAGGAAAATAAGAAAGCCCTTCCCCCGCCCCCGTTCGCCATGGTTAGGGGGTCTGGAGGATGACGGCTCTGACACCCCTTCTCTGGGCCGGGTTTCAGAAGCGGAAAATGGAAGAGGGCGACGACGACGCCGTGCAAGCCAAAGTCCTGCGGCCCCTGCGGAGCTGCGACGAGCCCCTCACGCCCCCGCCTCACTCCCCCACCTCTATGCTGCAGCTCATCCACGACCCGGCTTCCCCCCGGGGTATGGTGACTCGGTCATCCCCTGGGGCTGGCCCCAGCGACCACCACAGTGCCAGCCGGGATGAGCGCTTCAAACGGCGGCAGTTGCTGCGGCTGCAGGCCACAGAGCGCACCATGGTACGGGAAAAGGAGAACAACCCCAGCGGCAAAAAGGAGCTGTCTGAAGTTGAAAAAGCCAAGATCCGGGGATCGTACCTCACTGTCACGCTGCAGAGGCCCAGCAAAGAGCTCCACGGGACATCCATTGTGCCCAAGCTGCAGGCCATCACGGCCTCCTCTGCCAACCCGCGCCATTCCCCCCGCGTGCTAGTGCAGCACTGCCCAGCCCGAACCCCACCGCGTGGGGATGAGGAGGGGCTGGGGGGAGAGGAGGAGGACGAGGAGGAGGAGGAGGAAGATGACAGTGCAGAGGAGGGGGGTGCGGCCAGGCTGCATGGCCGGGGCAGTGGGGCTCAGGATGGAGACGAAAGCTGGATGCAGCGGGAGGTCTGGATGTCTGTCTTCCGCTACCTCAGCCGCAGAGAACTTTGTGAATGTATGCGAGTGTGCAAGACGTGGTATAAATGGTGAGCAGGGAATCAGGGGGTCAGGAAGAGGGCTGTGGGAGCAGGTGTGGAGCAGCAGGCTCTGCGGAGCCCCGGGACCCAGGCTGTGGGCCCTGTGACAGGTGCCGAGGGCCTTAGGGAGATGGGCCCCTGCCGGCTCTCCCTGCTCCGCACTTCCCCATCCGTCTTTCCTGGGGGAGGGGAGCTGATTTGGGGGACAGGCATGTACCATTTTTACTAAAACTGCAGAGTCTTACAGACTGCATTTCTCGCATGGAGTTGGCTGCGCCCCTCCGGTGTGGGTAGCACGGCCCCTGTGCCTGAAGGTCATGCCTGCGGTTCTCCGCATGCAGCAGGGAAAGTGGGCATGCTTCCCACGGGGCTGGAAGGTACAGTTGTGCAGCTGGCTGACTTGGGTCTCTTTCACAAAAACTAACATTTCTGTTGCTGCTGCATGGTAAACACTCGGGGGTGACCGTACCTGCTGGTCAGCAGCGAAGGCCTTTCTGCAAGGTATCGATGCAGCTTCTGTCCCCTGTGTGGGTCACACCCTGTTACAGGAGTTCTCAGGGACATCCTTACCAGCGCACCCACCTCGGAACCTGCTGGAAATGCAGATTCTCCAGGGGGTTCCAGGACTTGCTGCTTTAAGAACCCTTGCTCTGGGCTGGCAACTTGATTGTGCCGCAGGTCATAATGTAGGCCATTGGTGAAATGTTTAAAGACCTGTTCTTTGCAAACCCAAGTGTATTTCCCACATGCCTGGCTCTGCCCTTAATTTCTGGTCTCCTGTGGTATAGGCCAGCTCCCTTCTGGCCAGCAGGACTGGGCACCTGGGTGCACGGGGAGCGTATCGTGTGAACGGAGGCCTGCAGGGCACAGCACAGTCTGTGGACACAGTGGAACAGCAGGCTGCTCCCTTTCACACTGGGTGTGGACTGCCTGGAACGTCGGGAGAGAGCCGGGCTAGATTTGATATAGTGGGAGAAGGCTGCCCAAGCCGGAAGGGCCCCAGGCAGGCCGCTTGGCTGAGTTGCTCCTGCTTCTCAGAGGACAACCTGCTGGCCTCGGGCAGTTGCCAGTCGCTCTCTAGAAAGAGCCTTCTGATGTTGATGCCAGACTTTGGCCTGGCGTGCCCCACAGCTCTGCTCCAGAGTCGATGGACTGAACTGCTGCCCGACACTGGAATTTCCTTGACTCACAGTGACAGGGTGTGACCCTGCCGGGCTTGGAAAAGGACCTGGGGAAGAAGGCCACGCAGGTGCTCTGCTTTCCCAGAACATTCCAGAGGCTTGTGGTGGGAACTCCACTGACGGAGGCATCAGCTAGAGTAACAACTAGCTTCTTCCCTTCTGGCACAGGTGCTGTGACAAGAGACTCTGGACAAAAATTGACTTAAGTAGGTGTAAGGCCATTGTGCCCCAGGCACTCAGTGGCATCATCAAGAGGCAGCCAGTAAGCCTCGACCTCAGCTGGACCAACATCTCCAAAAAGCAGCTCACATGGCTTGTCAACAGGCTGCCAGGTGGGTGGATGCCTAGGCCACAGCCTGTGCCGCTGCGGCCCTCTGCTTGGTGAGAGACCCACACCCCGCCTCTGCAGGGCACCCCCAGGGACAAGCGGTTGTCGCACTGCACTGAAATGTAGTCAGGTGCTGGGGCCAGCCTGCAGGTCTCCACAGCGTGCAGTCACTCCAGAGGAAGCGCAAGTCAGTTGTAGCCTTGGGCAATCCCCCAAGGACAGGAAGTCCCTTGCTTTTGCATTGTTCTGGTAGTAGCTAAGCTGTCACCATAACACCCAGGCTCAACACCTAGATTCCATTGTGCACCATGGAACAACGGGCAGACTAGGGCACATTCCCTCCCCTCGGCTGGGCTCAGCTGGTTAGTTGGAGCTTTGAGTGTGCTGGTAAACCGTGTGTGTAGCTGAAAGCCTCTCTTTTCGCTCCCCCAGGGCTGAAAGACCTCCTGCTAGCTGGCTGCTCCTGGTCTGCGGTCTCTGCCCTTAGCACCTCCAGCTGCCCCCTTCTCAGGACCCTTGATCTTCGGTGGGCAGTAGGAATTAAGGACCCGCAAATCCGGGATTTGCTAACTCCACCAGCCGACAAGCCAGGTATGCTGTGGGCCTGCCTCCTGCTGGGATGTCTTTGTTGGGCACGCTGGTCTTCAGATACTGAGGCCATCTTGGGAATGACGCTGCGGAAGCTGGAAGAGTAAATGATTCCAGAGTGGTGGGCTCTGTGCAGGTGCAGTGCATGAGCAGACACATGCCCAGAGAACAGAAGCCTGAGCAAGTCTCGGAGGGCTTCATGGTTGAGGTGAAAAGTCAGAAGCTGTTTGTGTGATGGTCTAGAAGAGTGCGGGGGTGTAGGAAGGGGTGGGGCATTCCATGCATGCCCGTGTAAGTGAGGCATAATCTAGCAGCTGCGTTTCCTAGAAACTACCCCCACACAGACTCCCTCCCTGGAGGCAGGGCTGGGTGTGGGCAGTTCTGCTTAACCCCTTCCGGTCCGGGGAGCCTGACCAGCAAGTAGCTGCTGCCACCTGCATCTTTGGAGCTGGCTTAGGGAACTCACAGCGTTGATCTTGCAGGTCAGGACAATCGCAGCAAGCTCCGGAACATGACTGACTTCCGGCTGGCAGGCCTTGACATCACGGACGCCACGCTCCGCCTCATCATCCGCCACATGCCCCTCCTGTCCCGACTCGACCTCAGCCACTGCAGCCACCTTACCGACCAGTCCTCCAACCTCCTCACCGCCGTCGGGTCTTCCACGCGCTATTCTCTCACCGAGCTCAACATGGCAGGTGAGCTGCCGTAGCTGGGCCTCGCTGGCTCCATCCTCCTCCGCATCCGCGCAAGGCCGTGGAGCTCTGCTGTAACAATGGGAGACTGAGTGTTTAGCCACTGCCCACGGGTGTGTCACCCCAGCTGCTGCGTGGTTGGCCGCTCTGCTTGCTGCCTGCCCTAGGATTCCGTAGCTAGGACGTGCCGGTGGCGCTTCTGGTCTTGGAGCCAGGAGTGCTTTCGGGGCTCACTGGGGACACCAGGGCGTTGCTGTGGCTGTGCGTGGGCGCCCACCCTTCCTCACCACCACTTTCCCTACAGGTTGCAATAAGCTCACAGACCAGACCCTGATCTACCTACGGCGCATCGCCAACGTGACCTTGATCGACCTTCGCGGCTGCAAGCAGATCACTCGCAAAGCCTGCGAGCACTTCATCTCAGACTTGTCCATCAATAGCCTCTACTGCCTGTCTGACGAGAAGCTGATACAGAAGATCAGCTAAGGCACGCCCCGCCCCGTGCGAACAGGAAACCAGCTTCCCCAGGAGTGCCGCTCCGCCCCGCCCTCGCAGTGGCACACGCCCTCTCTGCTCGCCTGGCCCTCCAGCCACTCCCCTGTAGGTGAGGTAGAGAGGGTGGTGGACTGGCTGACTGGCCTGCTCCCCCTCCTCAGGAACAGGGCTAAGGAGAGGGAAGAGCACGGGCCGCCGTGGCGCCCACCTGCCGTCCTGTCTGGGCCAGGTTCTCCTTGCGGGGTGTTTGCGTGCGTCACCTGGCCTCCCTGCCCGGGTCCCAGCGCAGCCTGGTTCTGAGCAGACTCCGGGAAAGAAAGCAGTTCTCCCGGTGGCTTTCAGTGCGTGGCGCTCTCCCGCCACTCCCAGGGTGTGCACAAGGGGCCACACTGGTGCTGCAGAGCGTGCTCTGGCTTGCCCTCTCTGTGTGGCACTGCCCAGTGCCCGTTCCTCCACACGATGAGCTGTCCCTGCCGGTGCCACCCCAGGCTGCCCACCGAGGCTCCAGGAAGCCCTTGTTGCACTTACTGGGGTTGAAGCTCTTTCAAGGAGCGAGAACTGCCTACCCCAGGGACACCCCAATTCACTCCTGCCCCGGGCAGATTCTGAGACAGGCACCACCTCTCACCTCCCACCAACTGCCCTTCACATGTCCTCATTCCTGCCTGCACAGAGCTTTCCCAGAGGCCTGGGTGCGGCCCCCGGGCTGCAGTCGGGAGGGGGTGTGCATGTGCCTCGGTGTGTGTGGCTGAGTGTCTTACGTGTGTGCGGGGAGGGGGCGTGCTCCCCAGCGCCTTCTGGTAAGCCCCGTCAGCTGCCCCTCTTTGCATTCAACGGCCTGTCCAAAGACCCTCTCTCTAGGGCAGCGGAGAGCTTTTGCACTTTAAAAAAAGACGGAAGGAAGGGTGGGGGTGCCGGGGCCAGTGTGTATGTGTGGGTCCCAGGCAGCCGCCGTGGGCTGGGCTGAGGAAGGCGCTGCGAATTTGCACTGCTCCCCTGGGAAGGATGCTGATAGCACAAGCCCGCTCTGCCCCTGCCTGCCCCTCCCCAGAGCCCAGTCTCAGGCCTTCCCCCCCCCCCTGCTGTCCAAGGAGAGCCACCACCTGCCCCCCCCCCCCCGCCACTTGCAAAGCAATAGACACCCTCTTTGCCCCCTGGGCCCCCGTGGGGTGTCACTGTGTCTGCTTCCCTTCTGCTGGGTCCCGGGGCTGTCATGTGGAAGAAAGGCGGGGACTTACCCAGAGTGCCTCAGCCGTGGCCCGCCGAGAACCCTGGGTGTGGAGCGGAGTCCCTGCCGGTGCTGACGACCTGCCCCGGGAAGCCCCTGCCTTCGCTTGCTCCTGCGGAAAGCACCGCAGAGGTGACTTGGTTCTGTTGGGTGGTCTTTTACAAAGGGGTAGGGGAGACCCCTTCGAGCAGGGATTGTGCCGGGAGAGTGCCTCAGCCTTCAGGACGTGTCACCCGCAGAGATTGCCAAGCTGATGGGTTATTTTGGGTTTTGGATTTTGATGTTTGTTTATTTGGGGGTTTGGAAAAACAAGCAGCATTTTTAATGTGGAGCGTGGAGCGGAGGCCGCCACAGCCCGAGGCCCAGTGGGCTTGACTCGGTTTGGACTGTGAGGGGAAATGGTTTTATGGGAAAGGGTTGGTCCACGTGGAGGAAGCACACGGCGGGGCCGGGCCCTGCAGGACCGGCTCTGGCTCCACCTGCAAGCACCAGGGCGGAAAAACGCAAGGGAAAGGAAGGAAATTTATATATATATAATATAAAATCACTTGGTGATTAAAAATAACTGCTCCATAAATAAAACTCCTAAAGTCACTATGTTTAAAGGGTTTGGTTGTGTTTTTTTTTTTTTTTCCGGAGAAATATTGTAAATATATATATTTTTTGTTGCCGATTTAGAGTCCATCTCCAATATTGTGCTCAAAGATTTTAAATTAAATGTAAGCATTAAGTGGGTGAGTCTTCAGCTATCTCAGAACTTGACCTTCAGCTCACCAGGCCGGGGACGAGGGAAGCTGGCTGGGGTTGGTTCCCCCAGCACCTGCGGTTGTTGGTTTTAGAAGGGCAGGGCCGTCCTTCCTCTGATGCGTGGGAATGGGAGATATTTGTGTAATAAAATTTTTAAAAGATTAAAAAAGAAATAGCCTCCAGTGGGAAATATTTTGATTTGGGTTTTGGTTCTTTTGTTTTTAAATAAAAAAAAGGCTTTACAAATAAAAACTAAACCTCTTCTGCTTTGGGCTGTGTGTGAGAGCGAGAGCACGGTTCGGGTCGGGCCGGCGCAGTGGCTTGGTGCCAAAATGTTCACCTTGCAGCTCCCCGCTTGTGGTCTGGGAAAACGGCGGAGGATGGCCCAAAGCCCTGGGACCCTGCACCTGCATGGGAGAAATGAATCTTTTAAGAAAGCAGTGTGGGTCAGCCTGCTGGGTGCTGGCCACCAGGCCAAGGACCACAGAATGGGAGCCCTGTACAGCGGGGAATCCGCTCGCTTCCACGGGGAGGCAGGTACACACCACCGTCCTGCCCATGGCCCTAAGTGACCATACGGCCCAGGCCCCACCCTGCCACTGTGTACCCATAGCGCCCTGCGGCAACGGATCCTGTGGGTCCCGAGTTTGGTGCTGGGCTGGGACTCCCCAACATACACCACCCTGGTGAAGAAAGGACCAGCTTGGAGAGCCAGGACCCTGCAGCCGCCAGCAGCCTGACCCCAGCCCTGGCCCGGCTAGCAGCACTGGTTCACTCGACCAAATTGCCACTATGGCAGGGGCCAGGTGGCCCTGGAAAGGGCAGCAGGCCAGACGCAAGACCAAGCCCTCTGACGTGGGAGGGATCCTGGAGCTCCTGTGAATTCCACATCACACCTTGCACATGACATAGCCGGTATCCGGGGCTGAGGGGGCGGTCCCAGCTGCCCCCCAAGCCTGTTCATGTCCTCAAACACCGTGGCTCCCAGGAAGATCTCAGCCAATCAATGCAGCAAAGACACGGGAGAGACCGAGAAAAACGGAGCGTTCCAGCGTCCTGGCCACTCCTCGGCCTAACACCCACGCGTTTTAATCTCGGTTCATCATTCCCAGGAAGGCAGGGCTCAGAGAGGCGAAGCAACTCGCCCAAGGGGCCCAGCGGTAAGAGGAGCAGGAGGTGGCCTGGGGGTCCGACACCCGCACACACAGGGTGGGCCCGAGGCCCCGGGGGAGACCACAGCACAAACTGCATCGCTGTTCACGGGTTTGGCCGCGTGGAGGACGCACTAGTGCATGCACACGCTGGCCGAGCTGGCACAGCTTGGGGTGCGGAAGGGCCGGCGGGGGCCTGGCGACTGCGGGACTCCACACCCAGATGCAGCCTCGGAGATCTGAGGAAACCAAGCCACCTTTCGGAGGGTCTGCCGGGGTAGCGCTGCCTGCCGAGGCCAGGGGTCCAACACCCTTACCTTCCTTGGAGCCTCAGCCTTCGCTGACTCACATGCCTCAAAAGTTCTTTTTTGCTGCCCCCTAACAGCCACTCCCCTGCCTCGCTTCCCCTGGCCCGCGTGGAAATGTCCCCGTGGAGGGTCCTTCACAGGATCCGGCCTGCATGCCCCACACACGGTGGAAACCCCAGAGTGACAGCAGTGACTGGCACGTCTGGGTTGCCGTGTTGGATTCCCAAGGCCAAGCGGCAGTTTCTGGTGCCGGGGAGGAGGAGCATGGCAAATCCTGGCCAACACGGAGGAAGGAAGTGAAGGCGGCAAGGTAGCCAGAGCCTGGCAGTGTGTGGGCACCCTCAGCAGGAGCCGTCCACCACATCAACCTGCCAGGGCTCCTACTGAGGCCAGGAAGCCTAAGCTGCTGGGAGGGCACAGATGTGAGGGTTTTGCAGCAGACCAAGCCCACACTGAACCCTGTCCACCTCTAACTTACAGAGAGCATATGACCCTGCCAGCAGGGACTGCCATGCTGGAAGGAGGGGACCCCAGAGTGGGCCAGGGCAGCCGTGGGAAAGAGTGCATCCAGGCATGACAGGATTCCATAGCCAGACCAGGGACAACAGCAGGTGCATGCGGGGAGGGGGCAATCCAGGAGGACTCCTGGGGTGCTGGGTAGGAGCCTGCGAGGGCGGAGGGGGAGGCTGCTGAGAAGCAGGTTGGACAGGGGCTGGCTGGCAGGAGCTGGAGCCGCGTGTGGGACGCCCTGATGTTTGCAACACGTATGAGTCACCCAGCGGACATGCCAGGAGTGATGTGTCTCTGAGCCTGCCAGCTGGGCGGGGTTCGCCCATGATCCACTCTTCTCTGAGTTCCCAGCATCCTGACCACAGCCCGGCCCATCTGGGCAGCAGGCAGCAGTTTGTTAAGGGAAACTGGCCCAAAAGGCGAATTTTTTCATCCACCTTCGCAGAACCACCAGAGGGCACCAACATCCCAAAAACCAGGACCCTCCCCACACACCCTCTCACCCCTTGTAACCCCAAGGTCTTAGGGGCTCCAAAGGCCAAGCCACCTTCTCCCATCCCAGGAAGCAAGGAGGACTACCCCAGATGGACCCCACTCCAGCGCCAGACCTGGCCCCTGGTGGAAGGGGTTTTGGAGTGGCAAGGGGGAGCAGCTGGACCCTGGTCTGACCAGGTCATCAGACAGAGGTTCTGAAAGACAGAGGCTGTGGGGGGCCATGGGGGGTCGGGAGGCAGACAGGGGACAGAGGCTCCTGGTATGCCATCTGAGTGGGCTTGCTCTGCCCTAATGCCACCGTGTGCTCCAGAGCCCACTCCTCACCCATCACCATGGAATTGACTCAGGGAGAGTTAGCGGGGCTCCCCCCTCCACTCCATATCTCAGCATTTGTAACATCTTCCCACAGAGCACTGCTCACCCCGAAAATGGGTGATAAGGGACCATGGAGGTGCAGCCACCCAAGGACTTGGACCATCCTTTGCTGCTTTCCCAGGCCAAAAGCCGAGAGTTGAGTGGGAAGTGGGTCAGCCAGGACTCAAACCAGTGCCCATACGGGACCCAGCAGCACAAACTAGAGGGTCAGCCTGATGCAGCACTGGCCAGCCTTTCAAATACATTGCGTATCTATCTTTTTTTTTTTTAAAGATTTATTTATTTTTATTGCAAAGTCAGATACACAGAAAGGAGGAGAGAGAGAAGATTTTCTGTCCAATGATTCACTCCCCAAGTGACCCCAACAGCCGGTGCTGTGCCGATCTGAAGCCAGAAGCGTTGAACTTCCTCCATGTCTCCCAGGCAGGTATAGGGTCCCAAGGCTTTGGGCCGTCCTCGACTGCTTTCCCAGGCCACAAGCAGGGAGCTGGATGGGAAGTGGAACTGCGATTAGAACCGGTGTCCATATGGGATCCTGGTGCATTCAAGGTGAGGACTTTAGCCGCTAGGCTACCGCGCTGGACCCATAGCATATCTATCTTAATGCTATCAGAGGAGATGTTGTCCAATCAAGCAAACAGGTCCTTATAGACAACAAGACTTAGTGACAAACATGGCTGGAGTCCAAGTGGACACCCTGGAGGAGGTGCTGCAACAAGCTGAGTGAGAGTTGGTGGGAGATAAGGCACCCACAAGGGCAGGGGTGCAGAGGTGAGAACTGATGGTTGGATTTTGTGGGGCAACCTGGGACAGAGTGGCGGGGGCGGAGTGCAGGCAGCGACACCCACCTTGCAGGTTTAGGAGTCTGTCCACCTACAAGTCTGAGGCAGGAATGGGTGGGGCAGCGGCCTGCAGTGACCCCTATCAGAGCTGGCACCCCAAAAGGCACCCCAGGGCAACAGCCCAGGGAAGTGGGCAGGTTCCAGAAAATTCTCAGGAGGCCTGACAGGGGGGTGTAGTGAGGGAGGAATCCAGGAAAAGAAGGCTGGAGGTCCACTGTGGGGACCTGGGGGGCCACTTTGAATGGATGTGCTCTGGCTGCCGGCTGTCCCGAGGCTTCGCCAAGCCCAGAACTGGCCCCTGCCTTGCCACACAGGCCCTGGTCCTGCTGGGGACGGGGTGGCAGTCCCCCAGGCAGGGGCTCTAGAGAAGGGGCTTGTTCGAGCTGGAAGAGTGCCCTGACACCCCCCGTCAAGCCTTGAGGTTGAGACCCCTGTGTCCCCCGAGGAAGCCAAACTGAGCGGGCCAGCCAGCGCCTGATGCCCAGCAGGAATGGGGTCTGACTGTGGCAGGAGGGGCCCAGCACCTGAAGGAGCCCCCCAGGATGATGTCCGACTCACAAGCCCAAACTCCCAGGGAGAGGTGGGAGGCCGGCTGGAGACCCGGGGTCATGGCTGCCTGAACCCAAGGGTGTGGTTCCCCGGGGCCCAGTCTGGGGTCAGGATTGTCCTTGTCCCCCAGCCCGGGTCACGGCCAGGGTCTTAGATCCAGGCCCCAGAATCACTTAAGTCCACTTCCGGGGTCTTTGGCCAGCGACGACGGAGGGTGGGTCCGACTGTCAAGTGTGGGACCCGGAGAGGTGGGGACTCGGGCTGCGTTCCAGGGGCCGGGGTCCGCTCTGGCCCCTCGGTGTCGCGTCCAGGCCCGGAAGCGGCGTCCGGGATGGCCAGGAGTGCGGATCCGCGCGGGTCCGGGGCTGGGGCGGGCGCGGGGGGCGCGGGGGGCGGCCCGGCTCGGGTCCGGCGCGCGCGGCCTCCAGGGGGCGCCGCCGCCCGCCCGGCTCGGCCCCTCGCGGGCTCGCTGGCGCTTGTGCGCGGCAGGCGGGGCCGGAGGCGGCGGCGGCTCCGGGGCGCGGGCGGCGGCGGCGGCGCCCCGACTGCAGTCCCGGCGGCGGGAGCGGAGCGCGAGCCGGGGCAGGGCCCGAGCCGGCGCCATGGGGCGGCGGCGCCTGTGAGCGCGGCGAGCCGAGGCCGGGCGGCCGGGCCGAGCGCGGGGCCGGGCCGGGCGCGCCGAGCCGAGCGAGCGGGGAGCGCCAGCAGCGGCCGCGGCGGGAGCAGGCAGCGCCGCCGCCGCCAAGATGGCGGACCTGGAGGCGGTGCTGGCCGACGTGAGCTACCTGATGGCCATGGAGAAGAGCAAGGCCACGCCGGCGGCGCGCGCCAGCAAGAAGATCCTGCTGCCCGAGCCCAGGTGAGGGGGGCCGCGCTCGCGCCCCGAGCCCGGCGGCGCGTCCTGACCCACCTCCCCCCGCCGCCACACACACCACACACACACACCACCCCGGGGGCGCCTCGCGCTCCCGCTGCCCGAGACCTTGGCGCCCCCCACGCCCGACCCCTCCGCCCGCCTCGCCCTCCTCGGCCCCAGCTGTCCTGACCGCCGCTCCAGCGCCGGGCGCCCCACTCCGGCAGCCCGGGACTCGCGCGTCCTCCCCCACCCGCGCGCCCTCCGCCCTCTCCCATGGCACACTCCGCGGGGCCCCTCGGTCGCTGTCAGCACCCCGTCCCTCCCGGCCCCGCGCACCCCGGCTCCTGCCTCCTCTCCCGGGCTCGGTGCTGCCGTCTGCGCGCAGCCCCGGATCCCCGTGGGGGTCCCTTGCGCTCCGCCTGCCCGGCCGGATCACCCATCCTGCTGCCGCCTCTGCTCCCAGCTCTCTCTTGGGGTTTGGGTCACACTTGGATGAGGTTTGGGGGGTGTTGTGGAGCCCTGGAACTGTCCCTCTCGCCGCCGGTGGGCTTCCTGTCTTGGGAGCCGGGTGTGGGAGTGCGTTTGGCTGGTGTGGCGATGGGGGCCCCCCCGTGTGGGGGTGCAGCGCCCCCCAAGGCTGAGCTCTGGTGGGGGGAAATGCTTGTGCCTGACCCCTCTCCCATCGGCCTTCCTCCTCTGGTGGGTCCTACCCGTGGGGCCTGCTTCTGGGGGGTACTGGTGACACGGGGACAGTCCAGTACACCTGAGGCAGCTGGGTCAGGACTGCCACGTCCCTTAGGCAGCTGGACACAGAGTTCAGGGGTCCAGGACGACTCGGGCTGTGGATGGTGGCCCTGGCTTATCTGCTCTTGAGTATTTTTTTCCCATCCTGTGAGCTTCCTGGGTCCCAGGGAACAGGTGAGGATAGCTGACACCCGAGCTCTCATCCAGGTAACCCACAGGACACCTGGCCACCCGCCCAGGGCTTCTAGCTCTTGGCTTCCCTTTGGGACCTGAGCCGGTGGGTGGGGGCCTCGGTGCCCTGCGTGGACCAGATGTGGCCGCCTACGGGGCTCCCGTTTGTGATACGTGGCCAGGCAACTCCTGTGTGCCCCAGCGCCTGGGGACAAGGCGGCCTTATCATGTGACGTTGGGCAAGTCCCTTCCCCAGCCCCAGCTTGCCAGTGTGTGTGAGAGAGAGCTGGGTGCCCTGCTGGCTCTCCCAGCCCCCCTCCTGCTCCTGGCCCTGCTCTCACACGGGGTGTCAGGTTAACTGAACAGCAGGTTCAGGAGTTCCGTGCGCGCAGGCAGCGTTAGGTGTTGAGTGGCCGTTAGGGTCCCCCACCCTACCCCCAAGACGTTTGCAATCGGATCTGTCAAAACAGGAACCAGAATGACTGTCAGCCAGGGCTGGCTGACCAGAGAGCAGCGACAGAGCACAAGTGAGTTCAGAAATGACAAACCGCGCAGGAGGAAATGGGGGTGCCGACCTCTAGGGCCCCGCTGAGCAAAGCGGTCCTTGGTGGCCACAGCTTCCAGAACCCTGGGCAGCGTGTGCCCCGGGCTGTTTCCGGAACTCTGTGTTGGGGTGCTCTCTCCCCCAGAGTGCACCTCGCTCCGCCTCAGGCTGGCTCTGCAGGTGTTGGAGCCCTCCCTCCCCCCAGGAGCCAGACGCGTTCCTCCTCCTTGTGGCCCGCCTGCCCGTGGTGGCAGTGACCTGTGTGGTGACAGGGTTGTGGCCCGTTCCTGTCGATCCTGCCGTTGTCATCTCTGTTGATCCCGGAGCCCCAGGCCTGCCTCCCGCTTAGTAGTTGCTCAGGAAATACAAGGCCTGTGACGTGCATCGCCTCCGGTTGGTCTTCAGTGGACACGAGGCGGCCGAGAGCCCGAGGGACACAGTCTGACAGGGAGCCGGGCTGCACGGCTCCGGGTCAGGTGGCGCTGGGCGCTCGGCCCACCCCAACCCCATACCCCTAGGCTAGGATGTGCTGAGCACCCACTGTGGGCACAGCTGGTCTGGGGTCCAGGCTGCTGCCCTGGGTGGTAAGACGGCGTGCCATGTGTGTCCAATGCCTCTCCGCCTGGGCCGCTGGTCCCACTGGACATGTTACTCCACTGTGGCCAGCAGGCCTGGCAGGTGGTGGTCACCCTCATTTAACAGCTGAGGCCCAGAGAGCAGAGGAGACCTGCTTGGGTCACAGAGGGGACAGCTGGAACCAGACCTGGGTCTCTGCCACCCATCCGGTGCACCTGCACTGTCCATGGCACAGCTATTAGTTGCACGAGGCCCAGGCCTCTGCCTGGCTGGGCTGGCTGGGGCAGGGACTGCATGGGGACCAGCAGCTTCCCACCAGGGGCTCCGTCATGCCCACAAGCCTGGGCTGTGGCTTGGGACCACCCTGGGGTGGTCCATCTTGGCTGACACCCCAAGGCGGGTGTCAGGGGTTATAGCTTGGCCAGGAACTGATGCTGGCATCACAGGCTTGGCAGGGGGAGCACCTGGGCACTGTACCACTTGGATTTGGCATGGGGTCTCCCATTCTGTCCCCTTCTAGCAGGAGGCAGGAGAGCTGGCATCCCACCAGTGCACCCGGAACCCAGCCCGCTCACCACAGCTGTCTCAGTTTCCACCTCAGTCAGTGCTGGGGGTGGGGGATGGTCCTGACTGGGGACTGCTGTGGACAGGGGCACGGGGTCCTGGCCTCGCCCCTCAGAGGCACTTGCTTCCGCAGCATCAGGCAGCAGCCTCTAATTACTGTAGTCTTTGGCATAATGTGACCGCGGAGGCCCCTGGGCAATTACCCTGGGTGCTCTGGGTCCATCGTGCTGCCTGGGCGATCCCAGGAGGCACTCGCAGCCCTCCCCTGCGACACTGGGTCCCAGCTGCGGAGTCTGGGGGGCCTCTTGCAGCCTCCCATTTTCTCCTGCTGTTTCCTGGTCCCTCCCCCCACCGCAAGTTGCCTCCTTCCTGCCCCTTGCCCGGCTCCCTTCCTCTGCTGGGCCTGGGTTCCTGTTAACCCTTCCTAGCCAGGACTTCCTGGCTCTGTTTCCCTCCCCCCACCCCCACTCCACTTTTGCCATGCCTGTGGGATCCCTGCCGTCTGCAGCCTCTGTCCGCCAGCCAGAGCTTGCCTCCTGCCCCTGAGCTGCCTTCCCTCTGCTAGGCCTCCATTCGGCTTTCCTGTCTGGTCTCTGGCCACCAAGTTGCACAGCTCAGCCCACCCCACTGACTTGCCACCTGCAGGCAGGCGCCAAGAGCCAGTGTTGCTTTTTGGAATCCAAGCAGGGGAATGTGGGCCCTGTCATTGGCAATGATGCGTCCTATGACTGCACATTGGATTCCTGGTAGTAAACCAGTGACCTCAGGTGCAGGCACGCGCCCCAGCGTGCGTCTCCTGCACCCGCCGGGTCTGCTGTGTGCAAGGGCTGAGCCACGCTCCCTGGAGTAACAGCAAGAGCCCGGAGCACGTGCCACCTGCCCTTCCTCGCCAGGCCCCTTCTCTCCAGCTCCTCCTCCCCTCCGTTCTTTCCAGTCCTGTTTGAACACCAAGATGTTCGCCTCCAGCTTGCCTACAGGAGGGGCCATTGCATGTCAGCAAGCCCCTTGGACCGCTGACTGGAGTAGGGGAGGGGAGATGGAGGGGCAGGTCAGGGAGGGAGTGATGACCACGTGGAGCTGTCAGCTGCAGGGGCTGGGTGCTTGCAGCACCTCTGTGAAAAACCTGTGACAGTCAACAAAGCCACACTGTGCCCATGGCCGCCATGCCTGGCTCAGCACACACAGGGGAGCTGTGCTGCTCTTACCCTGGCCACAGCCATTGGGGTGGTCTTCCTCCCTAACTGCTCCACAGGCCCCTCCGGCTCCGCGGACACGGGTGGCCCTAGGGAAGGTCGTTGATAAAAATTAATCAGAAGCCCCAGGGGACTTCCTCCTCTGGCTGCCACCTCGGTGCCAGGTTTCCTGGAAATGACCCAGGGGAGCTTGGTCACGACCAGGGCCCGGAGCCTGCCTCAGCTTTCACACCTGCGTGAGCAGGGCCACCCGTGAGATCCGGGCTCAGACCATTGAGCCTCAGGGACTGAGCCCAGGGCACGTCTTCCCCCATCACCTCACACCTTGCCCCTGTGTGTGGGGGGGGAGGCACAGCTGGGCACAGAGTGTACCTGTGCCAAGGCACCCACCGGGCCCTGGGGAGGGGTGACACCAACACATTAGCTCTTGCCCCTGGCTGCAGGCCCCGTGCCCCAAGGACATGGTGTCAGCACATAATCAGGCTCCATGAGAGGCTGTGGGGTGCCGGGGAGCAGGGCGCCTGGCCAGGCGTGTCCCGTCCGTCATCACGGAAGTGGGCGACCAGCCGATGGCTGTGCTGTTCCCAGGGCTCCTGCGGCCGGCGGCACGGTGGCAGCCGCTCAGCACCGTGCGGGCGTCCTCACTTACGAGTGGGGAAACCGGATATTTAAAGTCTGAGACTTGGCCTCCCAGGAGGGCACCGGGGACTCAGGCCTGGGCACCCATCCAACCGCCAGAAGGCGGGGCCTCCTGGGACCCACCCCTGGGCGTGGGGACCTCAGGGCTTTGTCGTCACCTGAGGACACCCACCTCCTCCCGCCCCCTTCTGGGGCTGAATGACCTGTGTGGGGCAGGGCGTGATCTGGGCACTTTGCCATCCCGGACTCTGGCAGTATCGGGGAGTGGGTGCAGCAGAGGGAGGTGGCCCTGCCCAGGAGGTGACTCGGCGGGAACAGTCCCAGCTCCCCTCGCTCACTGGGCCCTTCCATTCAGGCCCTGTCTCATGCTTGGTGTGGGTATTTGCGGGGGTAGCAGTTCTTTTTGCTGTGGCCTGGGGGGCCTGGGTCACTGCGGAGCCCTGGCAGGTGTCCCTGTGGCTGCAGGCACACTGCCCTGCGGCGGGTCGGGGACACACCTGTGCGTGTCTGGCTTCCGGCTCGCCCGGATCACGTGGTAGGAAGTGATCCCTGGCTCCCACCTGGGCAGTTTCTGCCGAGCTACCCCAGCTTTACCTCAGGAGGGCTTCCCTGTGAAGCCGGGGGACTGTGCCCCCCTCATTCCCCGCGGGGTTCCCCAAGAGCCAACATGGCTTTGCCCCTACCTGCCACACCTTCCACCTCACGTACCCGCGTGGGAGTGGATACTTGGTGATAGATCGCACGTCAGTCCTGCGTCCCCAGATGTCACGGCCCAAGGATCAGCAGCAAGAGCGGAGCCCAGGGCTGGTGAGGGTGCTGGTTCCCTGCAGGTGCCTGAGTTCCCCCCAAACCCGGCTCTGTCGTGGACATGAGCCAGTGTGGCCCCCCAGTCTAACCCTCTCGGGAGCGCCCTCCCCCGCCCCACACCCTACCGTCTCAGTACTGCTGCTGTTCTTGCAGACCCAGTGGCATTGCCAGCCTGGGCTTCCTCCCGTGGTGCCCTGGACCAAGCGTTCGAGCCCCTCTGAACACTGACTGGGGACCCCCAGACTCAGAACATTCTATGTGCTGTCAGACCTGCGTGTGGGCTGGGTGGACTGTGGGAGCCGTACCCCAGCAACTGTAGCTGGGCTGACCCGGCCAGCTGGTCAGCCTATGTGGGGCTGCCAGACACAGTCTCCATGTGGGTGCCTGCTGAAGGGGTGATGTGGCAGCCGCCGCAAGCCCCAGGGCTGCGTGAGCGGAGCGGTGCTCGGCGTGGTGGCCCAGCAGCTCCCCAACCACGCACATGCCCTGGGCACGGCCTGCATGGAGTGACCCCAGAAGCCACAGCTGGCCAGTGCAGACACAGTGGGCGGCATCTGTCTGAGGTGTGGACAGGAGCCCCGTGCAGCTCCGCCAAGGCGCCTGCTCAGGGCTGAGGGGAGATGGACTGGGCAGTGAGTCTTGGCTGGTTCACCACAGCCAGCCCCTCTCTTCTGGGGCTGTGGTAACTTGTTTTGTTACTATTATTATTTTATTTGAAACTCAGAGTTACCAGGGAAAGTTTTCCATCCACCTATTCACTTCCCAAAAAGCCTAGGCCAGAGCCAGGAGCCAGGAGCTTCTTCCAGGACCCTGGCATGGGTGGCAGGAGTTCAGGCGTCTAGGCCAGCTTCTGCTGCTTTCCCAGGCGCATGAGCGGGGAGCTGGATCAGAAGGAGAGTAGCCGAGACATGAACTGGTGCCCAGATAGGACGTCGACGTTGCCACAGGTGGTGGCTCAACCTGTTATGCCACAGCGCCAGCCCTGGGGTAACATTCTTTTTTGAAAAGTCTCAAACAGACTTGGCCTCACCTTGCATGTACCAGGATCCCATATTGGCGCTGGTTCATGTCCTGGCTGCTCCTCTTCCCATCCAGCTCCCTGCTTGTGGCCTGGGAAAGCAGTCCAGGGCAGCCCAAAGCCTTGCGACCCTGCACCTGCACAGGAGACCCACAAGAAGCTCCTGGCTCCTGGCTTCAGATTAGCTCAGCTCTGGCCATTGTGGCCATTTGGGGAGTGAACCAGAAGATAGATGTTTATATCTCTTTCTCTCTGGAACTCTGCCTTTCCAATAAAAATAAACAAAATCTAAAAGAAAATAAAAGATCTATTTACTTTTTTTGGGTAAAGATTTATTTATTTTTATTGCAAAGGCAGATACACAGAGATGAGGAGAGACAGAGAAGATCTTCCGTCCAATGATTCACTCCCCAAGTGACCCCAATGGGCGGTGCTGTGCTGGTCCAAAGCCAGGAGCCTAGAACTTCTTCCAGATCTCCCAGGCAGGTGCAGGGTCCCAAGGCTTTGGGCCGTCCTCAACTGCTTTCCCAGGCCACAAGCAGGGAGCTGGATGGGAAGTGGAGCTGCTGGGATTAGAACTAACACCCATATGTGATCCCGGTGCATTCAAGGCAAGGACTTTAGCCACTAAGCCACCACGCTTGGGCCCGAGACTTTTTAAAATTTTGATTTTGCTTAAGTTGAAAGATAATTCAGAAAACAGGAGACTCCTAACCATGTACAGTTGGGCACAGTCCTGATCCCTGTCTGGCCACAGCCCAGATAGGACTCCATCTCCGGGGCAGCCACTCCTCTCTCCGTCACAGCCCCAGCCTTGGCTAAGCTGCTTCCTGTGGTTCCCCCCCGGGGTGGCCGGTTCCGGCTGGCACACAGATGTCCCCAGGGTGGCCAGCTCCAGCTGTGCCAGGAACCAAGGATTCCATCCGAGGCCTTCTGTGCCAGGCACCCTGGCTCAGCGTCATGCCTCCGTACCGTGCTTCCATGTCGCGGCGTGTGCCACTGGAGGGGCAGCCAGGGAGTGTGTCCGTTCCTCCACTGGTGCGGGAGGCCTGGCTTTTGCAACTTGGCCAGTTTCCCGAAGCCAGCACTTGGCAGCACTGGGAAACCAAACTTCAGGGAGCGGAGCTTCTAAACAGGAGGCCACTTGCTGGCCACCTTGCCTTGGGGGTGTGTGGGTGCGTGGAGCCCTGGTGGGTGGGCCTGGGCTTCCTGCCAACCACTGCCCCCAGTGTGACGTGCATACCCCTTGTCCCCAGCATCCGGAGTGTCATGCAGAAGTACCTGGAGGATCGGGGAGAAGTGACGTTTGAGAAGATCTTCTCCCAGAAGCTGGGTGAGTACCACAGCCCTTGCCCAAGGACCACCCACCCCCAGCTGGGTTGCGCTTTCCCAGGAAGGTTTGGCCCCAGCAGCCTGGAGCTGCTCTGGGTCCGGCCCGCCCCTTAGTGCCTCCCAGCCCCTGGCCATCAGCCCAGGGAGCCCTGGTCCTCCGGGGTCGCCAGGGAAGTTCCTCCTTGGGGTTTTTGTTTTTGAGAGCTGCAGCTTCCCCCTGACACAGCCACAGCTGCTTCAGGACCGTTGGCAGAGCAGGCAGGAAGAGGCGGGGCCCTTCCTGTGGCTAGCCTGCCCCGCCCCCAGGGCCTCTTGCAACCTGCCTTTACTGCTGCCCAGCAGGCCTGGCCCAGCTGTCCCGTGAGGCCTACCTCCCCAGGCCTGGCCCTGGGGGCAGACACGTGTCTGTGCTGGAGCACCGTGAGGCATACCTCCCCAGTTCTGGCCCTGGGGGCAGACACGTCTAAGGGCAGCAGGCTCCTTCTGGTACAGCTCCATCCTGGCCCTAAGCAGAATAAGACTCCCAGTTCTGAAATGGGGTTGGAGGGTGGGGGTCTGCAGGCCAGCCCTCTAGAGACAGGTGGAGTATCAGGGGACACGTCCTAGGGCTCCCCATCGCTTGCTGTGTGGCCTGGGCATGGTGCCTCACCTCTCTGAGCCTGGTGATGACCCCACCCCCTTCCAGGAACGGGGACTCTGGAAGCCCCAGAGTTGGGTCAGGTAGTGTCAATGAGAACATTGGGGAGCTACCCACGACTTCCCCCCCCAAAACTACTAGGGCTTGATTGCAAGGCTAGAGAGAGTGGCCAGACTGTCGGTAGGGGTGCCAGGCAGGGGACGACTTGGGTGCTTTGGGGACGAGTCGGCTCTGTCCTGCTACAGGTGCTTGGGGGTCAGCCTCAGCCCCGCTGCCTCGGGGTGGGATGCCCTGCCCTCTGGCCTGGACTTCCCAGGGACCTGCCACCTGGACCTCTAGCTCACACCCACTTGTGAAGAGCAGGTCTCCCTGAGCCTCAGTTTACCTGACTGCTTCCCCTACCCATGTTCTGGGACTACCCTGCAGGATGGAGTAGGGTTGGAGAGAAGGGGGTGTGGGCCCCGTTCAGAGCCTGCCCGCCTGGCACAGGCGCTCAGAGCATCACAAGGCCCCAGGGGGTGCCAGCCTCTCCCGCCGCCCTCTGTTGCCACTCTGGTCAGCTGTGCTCTGGGTGGCCCAGACCCACTCTGTGCCCTGTGGCAGGGGGCAGTGTGGCTCACTAGCACCTGTCCCGGCTGGCCTGCAGGATACCTGCTCTTCCGAGACTTCTGCCTAAACCACCTGGAGGAAGCGAGGCCCTTGGTGGAGTTCTATGAGGAGGTGAGGAGGGGGCAGTTGGGCGGAGCTGGCACAGGTGCCCGCAGGGCCTGCTGGGGGCCTGAGGTCACCTGGGAACACTGCCCCCAGATCAGGAAGTATGAGAAGCTGGAGACGGAGGAGGAGCGCGTGGCCCGCAGCCGGGAAATCTTCGACTCGTACATCATGAAGGAGCTGCTGGCCTGTTCACACGTGAGTGCCCCCACTGACAGGGCCGGGCAGGGGCGACAGCTCACCCCACTGAGAGTTCACCTGCCCCTCCCCTCCGCCAGCCCTTCTCGAAGAGTGCCACTGAGCATGTGCAGGGCCACCTGGTGAAGAAGCTGGTGCCCCCGGATCTCTTCCAGGTGTGTGCCAGGCAGCCGGGGCGGGGCCTGGGCATCCCTCACCCCGGGGGTCTCGGTCATTCACCTCGCCTCCCTCCTGTAGCCCTACACCGAGGAGATCTGTCAGAACCTCCGAGGGGATGTGTTCCAGAAGTTTATCGAGAGGTGAGGAAGGGAGGGGCCGGAGGTGGCCTGCTTGGGCCTGCCCAGTGGTTGACCCTCCTGAGAGACCTGGCAGCTGCTGGCTCGCCTGTGCCAGGCAGCTTGGTGGGGAGGGGGCAGGGGCAGATCTCAGTGGACACGAGGTGCGGTGTTTCTGGGGTCGCGTGTGAAGTCTGCAGGCAGGACGCGTGCACCCCACCCCCAAGCCATGATGGCAGGAAGTCTGGGTTAGGACGGGAGGTGTCCTCCCCCAAGCTTATCTGCTCCCAGCAGGAACCCACAGCTCAGCTGCCTCCCTTGGAGGGCAGAGAGGGGGCAGGTGAAGCTGGCAGTCCATTTCTCTGGGTAGTCCCAGAAGAGGATGACAGGCTTGGGGCCATTGTCACAACCACCCTCTGATGGGACCCGCAGGCCGGCGCAGTGGCTGGGGGTGGGGGGCAGGCCTGTGCCAGCCCTGCCGTGCCCTGCCCAAGCCTGCCTGAGCCCGGTTCTCATCTCCCAGTGAGAAGTTCACCCGGTTCTGCCAGTGGAAGAACGTGGAACTCAATATCCATGTGAGTGGGCAAGGCGGGTCTGGCCAGGGAGTGGGGGTCAGGCCCCAGGTGTGGCCCTGAGGGTCAGGCGCCCGTGGGCACCGAGGACAGCCTGCAGTGACGCGGCTGTCGCTGCTCTGCCCCGCAGCTGACCATGAACGACTTCAGCGTGCATCGCATCATTGGGCGCGGCGGCTTCGGCGAGGTCTACGGCTGCCGGAAGGCTGACACGGGCAAGATGTGAGCGCGCCCGCCGCTGCTGCTGGCGGCCAGGCACCTGCGGTGGGGGGCCTCGGCATCCCGGGGAAGTGGGGGACTGTATGCTGGCCGTCTCCACAAGCTTTCTCCCACCCTCTGTGAGGCCCCACTTGGTGTCTAGTCTTACCCGCAGGACCCCCACCACGCCGAGGCAGCCCTAAGGCTCTGCCCCGGCAGTCAGCACTGACCCCGCACCCTGTCTCCCACCTAGGTACGCCATGAAGTGTCTGGACAAGAAACGCATCAAGATGAAGCAGGGCGAGACCCTGGCCCTGAATGAGCGCATTATGCTGTCCCTTGTCAGCACCGGGGTGAGCTGGGGCCGGGCAGGGGGAGCCCCCAGAGCCGCTGTGGGCGCCAAAGCCCCGGCACCCGCTGCTGACCGACCCCCGACCCCCGCTGCAGGACTGCCCGTTCATCGTGTGCATGTCCTATGCCTTCCACACGCCCGACAAGCTGAGCTTCATCCTGGACCTCATGAACGGTGAGAGCCGGTCCCACCCCTGGGTACCTGCAGACCGGGGGCCAGGGAGGGCACGGGAAGCTGAGTGCCCCACGGGGCTGCCTCCTTCAGGCGGGGACCTGCACTACCACCTGTCCCAGCACGGGGTCTTCTCCGAAGCTGACATGCGCTTCTACGCGGCCGAGATCATCCTGGGCTTGGAGCACATGCACAGCCGCTTCGTTGTCTACCGGGACCTGAAGGTGCCACGCCTCCCTGCCCCCTGCCGCTGCCACGCCTCCCTGCCCTCTGCCCCCTGCCGCTGCCATGCTCCCCCTGCCCTCTGCCCCCTGCCGCTGCCATGCTCCCCCTGCCCTCTGCCCCCTGCCGCTGCCACGCCTCTCCCCACCACCTGCCGGTGCCAGCCGTGTCCTGGCTTCAGCTTAGGCTTGGGGCGCCCTGCTCCCTAGGTGCCTGTGGTGGGCCTGCAATGCTCTGGGTGGAGGGGGTGGGGGCAGACAGGTCCCCAGCCAGCCCCGGCTGGTCCTGGGCTGGCAGCAGCTCACTGGGCCTCCCGCACAGCCCGCCAACATCCTGCTGGACGAGCACGGCCACGTGCGGATCTCAGACCTAGGCCTGGCCTGCGACTTCTCCAAGAAGAAGCCCCACGCCAGCGTGTGAGTGACCGCTCCCCTCACTGTCGCCCCACCCCATCCCACCTCACCCCTCAACAGGCCCATCTCGCACCTGCAGGGGAACCCATGGCTACATGGCCCCCGAGGTCCTGCAGAAGGGTGTGGCCTACGACAGCAGTGCCGACTGGTTCTCCCTGGGCTGCATGCTTTTCAAGTTGCTGCGGGGGTGAGTGGGGTCCTGGGTGAGCACGGGGGGGGGGGGGGGGGGGGGGGGAGGCGCGTGCATGCTGCCTGCCTCGGTTTCCTCACCACCACGTACCTGCGCCATCGGCCTCAGTTCCCCACCTCTCTCATGTTCAGGCACAGCCCCTTCCGGCAGCACAAGACCAAAGACAAGCACGAGATTGACCGCATGACCTTGACCATGGTGAGTGCCGGGCCACAGTGGAGACGGGGGAGGTGGGGGTCTCCCATGGAAGGCGCCAGGCACATGGCCTCTCCCCTACCCCAGCCCTGCCGGAACCCCAGCTTCACCCCTGTGGGGTCCCCGAAACCCACACCCAGGCCAGGGGAGCCAGGGTCCCACTCCTCCTCGGCTTTCCTGCAGGCCGTGGAACTGCCTGACTCGTTCTCGCCGGAGCTGCGCTCCTTGCTAGAGGGCCTGCTGCAGCGGGATGTCAACCGGAGGCTGGGCTGCCTGGGCCGCGGGTGAGTGTCCCCACTCCTGGGTGCGACGCACTAGCCTGGCAGAGCACGGGGGCAGGCATCCCGGGGACCGGCAGGAAGGGTCTGGGCTGGCGGGGGGAGCTTGTCAGAGCCGGGGAGTGACAGGTGTTTCCCCACAGTGCTCAGGAGGTGAAGGAGAGTGCCTTCTTCCGCTCCCTGGACTGGCAGATGGTCTTCCTGCAGAAGGTGCTGGAGAGCCGGGGGTGGGGCAGGGCCCCGGCGCCCCCAGCTCACATCCCATGCTGACATGCCATGCCCCCCCCCCGTTCTGCTGCAGTACCCTCCCCCACTGATCCCCCCACGAGGGGAGGTGAATGCAGCTGATGCCTTCGACATCGGCTCCTTTGATGAGGAAGACACCAAAGGAATCAAGGTACTGCCCTTCCCCCACGGCCTCTGGCTCTCAGCCCCTCCCCCTAGACTTCCCAGGGGTCACAGGTGTGTCAGAGCTGGGCCTAGGCAAGCCTGTGGCTGATGGCTGGCCTGTCCCCACCCTTGTCCACCCTGGTGAAGTTACTGGACAGCGACCAGGAGCTCTACCGGAACTTCCCGCTCACCATCTCGGAGAGGTGGCAGCAGGAGGTGGCCGAGACGGTGTTCGACACCATCAACGCCGAGACGGACCGGCTGGAGGCTCGGAAGAAAGCCAAGAACAAGCAGCTGGGCCACGAGGAAGGTGTGAGGGCTGGCGTCTGCCGGAGGGGCAGGGGACGTGGTCTGGGGGCGAGGCCCAGCCGGGTCCCAGCCCTCTGTCTCTCTGTCCGCTCAGACTACGCCCTGGGCAAGGACTGCATCATGCACGGGTACATGTCCAAGATGGGCAATCCCTTCCTGACCCAGTGGCAGCGGCGGTATTTCTACCTGTTCCCCAACCGGCTCGAGTGGCGGGGCGAGGGCGAGGCCCCGGTAAGCAGCAGGTGCCGCTGGGGGCGGCCAGGGGCGGGAGCTGGGCCTGGGGGCGTGGCCGGCTCACCCGGCCGGCCTCACCTGCCGTGCCGCCCCCGCAGCAGAGCCTGCTGACCATGGAGGAGATCCAGTCGGTGGAGGAGACGCAGATCAAGGAGCGCAAATGCCTGTTGCTCAAGATCCGCGGCGGGAAGCAGTTCATCCTACAGTGCGACGTGAGTGGGGCTCGCGGGGCGACTGGGGGTGCAGGGCGGGTGTGGGTGGCCCGGGTTGACTGGCACACGTCCCGCCCGGCACAGAGCGACCCCGAGCTGGTGCAGTGGAAGAAGGAGCTGCGGGACGCCTACCGGGAGGCGCAGCAGCTGGTACAGCGGGTGCCCAAGATGAAGAACAAGCCACGCTCGCCGGTGGTGGAGCTGAGCAAGGTGCCGCTGGTGCAGCGTGGCAGTGCCAACGGGCTCTGAGCCGCCGCCGCCCGCCCGCCCGCCTTTTATAAACCTCTAATTTATTTTGTCGAATTTTTATTATTTGTTTTCCCGCAAAGCGGAAAAGGTTTTATTTTGTAATTATTGTGGTCTCCTGTGGCCCCAGCCTGGCCCAGCCCCTCCCCCAACCCCACCAGCACCACCTCTGCCCTTCCCTGCCAACCCCTGCCTCCTGGCAGCTTTGCCTTGGCTCCCACTGCCACTGGCCCAGCCACTGTCCATGTGCCACCCTTCCCCTCCTCCCAACCTCCAGGGATCCCCTCTGCTCCTGGGGGACGGACAGTGGGCCTCTGGCTCGCCGCCTGGCTGTGCCCACGGGCATGGCTGGGGGGCTGGCCCAGTGGAGGCCCAGTGCAGGGATTTTACTTGAATTTGCCCACGGCAACCCTTCCTGTGACAGGGACAGGCCCCTTTGCTGTCCTGCTCACTGGCCACGGGAGAGGACCCGCCAGTGCTGGTGGTGACTTGGGCACTGGCGCCCTATTCAGGAGAAGCCCCATGTCCCTGGCTCCCTCCAGTTGCCACCTTGCCCTGGACATCGTGTGGCTCGGGCCAGGAGGAAGGTGTGGACAGCAGGTGCTGCTGCCCCCTCCCCCAACACATATTCGGTCCCTCCCCCACTCCCACTTGAGCACTTGGGCTCAGGGACCACAGCAAGGTGACCGCAGATTGGGCCACACTGGCCCAGCTTGGCCTCACGGTCTCTCCTTACCCCCCGCCGCCTGGCTGGGCAGGCAGCGGGGGGAGGGGACAGCCAGTACCCCTCTGCTCCTGCTGCCCAGCGCTGCAGCCCGTGTCCTGTCAGTGCCACCGCCCGAGGGCACCGCCTCGCCCGCCGCATGCCCCCTTGTGCCAGTCGCGCAGCTGTGTGTGGTGTCGCGCCCCTCTCCCCGGGCTGGAGCTGGGCCGGCGTGCCCCCCACCCCATCTGCTCACTCCCTGGGGTGTCTCTGCCGATTTTTGAATGTGATTTTAAAGAGTGGAAAATGAGACTATGCGTTTTTATAAAAAATGGTGCCTGACTGCTTGCCTTGGACTCTTCTTGCGCCTGGGGACTGACGCCGGGCTGGGGCCGAGGCAGAGGGCTCTGGCCTCGGCTGTGGCCTTGCTGTACGGCTTCCACAGTCTCGGAGGGGCCGGTCCCCCTGTACCAGGCACCTCACCTTCACACTGAGTTGCCTCTTGCCCACCCCCCTCCCTGTCCTGCAGGCCCTGGGCAGGTACCTGCCAGCTCTGATGGGCTGATGTGCCAGGCACATGAGAGTGGGGACATTTCAGGTTGCAGGGGGACCACAGTGGGGGCCCTGAACACCACCAGTCTCGGCTGAGCACAGAACTGGGATTCAGGGGCTGGGGCAGTGTCCTGGGGACGGGCCTCCTGCACCTCACTGGGCTGTGGTGGAGTCGCGCAAGCCCAGTGTGCCAGAGGTCCACAATAGGGCACCAGGGATGGCACAGGTGTCCAGGAAGAGAGGTTAAGAGTCCACACAGGCCAGGGTGAAGCAGAGGGTATGGAACAGGGGAAGGCCAGTGGGCCTGAGGGAACCGGTGCTCAGCCAGGCAGAACCCCAGCAGGGACAGGGGCCCGTGGGAAAGGACTGAGAAGATGCCATGGGGTCATGGTCTGTGGGTTTGGGAGTGGCTGGGCGTGGGTCCCGTCCTGAGGGTGGGGGCAGGGAGCCTGGCTGAGGCAGGCGGAGGCCAGCTGAGCCTGTTGGATGCTCGGTCCCCAGGGTGGGAGTGCAAAGGGGTCCCACCAGGCAGAGGAGCCACCTGGCCCAAGGACTCCGATCCAAAGCCCCCTTCAAAGCTGCAACCAAGGGGTCGAGGGTCCAATGGTCAGCCCGCGCAGGGCCGCGGCAGCCACACACGCAGACTGGGGCCCCTGGGGATCGGAGCTAGCCTGCCTGCACCCTAGTTCCGGCGGCGTGGGCGGGGGCGGAGGTCCGATTTCGAAACTCTCCTTCCCCCTCCAGCGCTGGCCGCAAAGTGCAGCCTCTACAAGCAGCACAGCGGGCTCCAAGCCCCTGACCCAACGCCCCCATCACGGAACCCCGGGGAACTCTCCCCTCACTGCCAGCCCCTGCTCGCACGGGGGTCCTGGGAGCAGGTGCCGCACGCACCACCAGCCCGGAGGCCTCTGCGCCGGTTCATCGCAGCCCTCGGGCGGGGATGATGAGGCTGTCGGGGTACCAGCCGCCCCCAGACCCTCACAGGAAGGCACGGTCGGTGTTTGCGTAGGTCCAACTCAACCGCGGCAGCACCACCACCACAGTGCGCGCACGCGCACTCGTGCGCCCCGCCCCGTCCCCGAGCCCCCTCCTTCCCCTTCCGGACCCACAGGGAAAGCGGGGTGTCGGAGCCGGCCTGGGGCGCCCCCTGCAGGCCGCCCCCCGTGCAGACTCCGCTCGCCCGTGGCCCCCGGGCCCAGCATGGCCCAGCAGCGCCGCCTGGCCACGCCGGGCGCTCGCAGACCTGGGGACCGTTGCCAGGGCTGCAGGAGGCGAGGGGGCGCATGGCCCGGGCCCGGCGCAGCCGCTGCTGCTGCAGCCACCTCGGGAGGCACCGTGGCAGCCACCTCGGGGGGCACCGTGGGCATTGTTGGGGCACCGCCGCCAGGGGAGCTCCAGCATGGCCGGCCCGGGCAGCACCTTCCCACTGCACCGGCTCATCTGGGCGAATCGGCACCACGAACTGGAGGTGGCGCTGCACAGCTGCCAGGTGAGGTCCGCTGAGCACTGGGTCCCCACCCCCAAGGCTGTGGTCCTCCGTGCCCTCCCCTGCTCAGTTTGGGCACGTGCTTCTGGCACTCCAGCGCCGTCCCTGTCCCAACACAGTGCATTAAGTCCCCCACCGCGTGTCCGCCGCCAGCTGACAGCAAGTGCGCGAGTCCAAACCCTGTATATCCAGCACTCCTGTGCCCCCTACGCCCGTGCCACCTGTCTGGCCTGTCTGCCCTCCTCTTCCTCCTCGCCCACAGTGAGCTGTGGCCCGCCAGCCCTTGCTCTGACGTGCTTGCTGTCTGCCCCCAGCACAAGGCTGAGCAGAAAGACCCCCTGGGGTGCACACGCCTGGAGCTGGCCGTGTCCCTGGGGAACCTGGAACCCATCAGGATCCTGCTTTGGCACAATGCCAACATGGGCAAGGAGAGCTGGCAGGGCTGGGCAGGTGTGCCGGTGACATGTTTCCCCTTGGGGCTGGCTGGCTGGCAAGGTCCCCTTGGGCTAGCCTGGTGCCCCCCAGTCCTGCAGGAGGCCTTCAGCACAGGGGACCCAGAGATGGTGCAGCTGGAGCGGGACTTTCAGAGAGCCACGCGGAGGTTTGGGAGGTTAGCTGGCATTCTTGAATGCCTCAATAAACTCCACCAGGTATGGGGGAGGTGCAGGGGGGACCTGGTTCCCTCCCCCCAACACAGGTGCACCCTGTAGCACCTGCTCACCTGGCTTCCTTGCCTCTGCCAGCCTGCAGTGGGGCACACACACACACACGCAGCCGGGCTTGTGCGCTCACGTTTCCCTCGCACCGGCAGGTCTGCAGGGGGTCCTTGTGTGTCCCTCCCATACCAGGTTATAGCCAGGTCATGCCATACACCAGCCGTTTTAGGGTTCCGCCCAGCCCCACCCTCCTGGACTGGGTCTGGCTGGGGTGAGGACACAGCTGGGCAGACAACCACATTCCCTCTCTCCCTCTCAGGATCCTGATTTCTGTGTGGAGATGAAGTGGGAATTCACCAGCTGGGGTGAGACCAGTGTGCTCCCAGGGCCACAGGGGGTGGGGGCACTTGGAGGAGGACACCCTGATGACCCCCAGCACACACGCCCCCCACGCAGTGCTTCCGGTGCCCAGGATTTGCCCGAGTGCCGTGTGCCGTGTGTGGAAGCAGGGCAGGGCCTGTGAGTGGACACCGCTCTGCATCTCATGGCTGAGGTTTACCCGACTATTTATCTGTTGGAAAGGCAGATTTACAGAGAGGAGAGACAGAGAAGAAGATCTTCCGTCTGTTGTTTCACTCCCCAAGTGGCCGCAGCTGAGCTGATCAGGAGCTAGGCGCTCCATCCGGGTCTGCCATGTGGGTGCAGGGGCCCAGGGACTTGTACATCTGCTGCTTTCCCAGGCCCATTAGCAGGGAGCTGCACTGGAACAGCTGGGACAGGAATCAGCCCCGCAGGTGGAGGCTTAGCCCACAGCACCATGGTGCTGCCCCCCCCCAATCCATTTAAGTGAGTTTCAGTAGTTTTGATCTTGGTAGGAATTGATCCAGGTCATGTCAATGACCAGGTTTATGTGAAGTTCCTGGATCCTGGCTTCGGATCGGCATAGCATCGGCCGTTGCGGACACTTGGGGAGTGAATCATCGGACGGAAGGTCTTCCTCTCTGTCTCTCTTCCTCTCTGTGTATCTTGACTTTCCAATAAATAAATAAATCCTTAAAAAAAAAAAAAGCTTTCTTTGTTGGAAGAGCAGAATTCTATATATATTATGGAGAGATGATCTGCTTGTTAGCTAACTCCCCCAACAGCCAGCGCAGAGCCGATCCAAAGCCAGGAGCTTCTTTCGAGGCTCCGTGTGGGCGCCAGGGATCTAGGCCCTGGGGCCGACCTCTACTGCTTTCTCAGGCCGTAGGCAGGGAGCTGGATCAGAAGTGGAGCTGGCTGGAATTGAGCCATGCCCATATGGGAGACCGGCACTGCAGGTGGCAGTTGAAGTGGCCACACCGCAGCACCAGCCCTGAGATCTTCCTTCTCAGTATAAATGTCCCCTGGAACTCAGCCTTCGCCGTGTCCTGTAAATCCCGGCGTGCTGTGTCTTCAGGTGCAGGCTCCTGCTGGCTTCTGCTCTGATGGGCTTTCTAGAGTCTCTGGCTAGTATCTGGGTGTCCATGGATCCCTTTCACAGAGTTGTGAATTTTCATTTTGTTTCTCTTGCTCCTCGTGGTTGGAGAGCACTGCATGCCAGGCACCTGTGCCTTTCTCATGGAGGAGGTTCCTTTGGCGTCCCGCACAGGCAGTGGAGGGGAGTGTGTCCCCTTGTTGGGTGGAGTGTTCGAGGCCTGGGTGTGGACTGCAGTCAGCTGCTGGCCATGCTGGTGGCCCACCTCTCTGTCGGGCCACTGTCACCTCTTGCTCTGTGTGTGGTCCTGCAGCTGTTTAGGAAGCCAGCAGATTTGCATACCTGCATTCATGATTTTTTACTGTGGGAAATTTCAAGTATTTATGAAAGAACACATACTGACATATCATCAACGTCAACATTTATGGATGTCTCAGCTGGGACCCCAGGGACCGCTGTCCTTCCCTTCCCCCACCCCCTGATGTTGCATCTCCACGGGGAAGCCTTCTACAGGTGCCTCCGGCAGAGACACGCTTCCTTTTCTTAATTTGGAAACTTTTTTCCAAGCCAGATTTGTAAGAGAGAAAGGAGGACATGCTGTTTGCTGGTCACCCTCCAAGGGCTGCAACGCCCAGAGCTGGGCTAGGTGTGACTCCCCTGGGGTCATTTCATTGATTTTCATGTGGGCAGGGACCCAGGGACTTGAGCCACTGTCTGTGGCCTTCCCCAGTGCATTAGCGGGGAGCTGCACCCTAGCAACGGCTCCCAGATAGACCCTGCCTTTGAATTTTTTTTTTTTTTTTGAGTGGCCCCAATAGCTGGAGCTGAGCCAATCTGAAGCCAGGAGTCAGGAGCTGCTTCCAGCTTGTCCAGGTGTCCAGGTACCATTTTAGCCCAGAGAGTCCTGGAGTTGGGCAGCAAGGACAGGCGGGAGGGACGGGGTGGGGCCGGGCTATGGAAAACAGGTGTTCACGCCATGCCCCCCACCTTGTCCTGGTCTGTTTCAAAAACAAGTGCTGTATCTGGGGGTGACGGTCAAAGATGGAGAGTGTCAGCGGCTATGAGACTAAGACAGGCAGGAGAGGGGGCGGGGAGAGGGTGGAGGTACATGAGGGTTGGCAAGGTGCAGGTGCTTGGCTCCGTCCCTCCGCATCATGCCGGAATGGAGAGGGGGAGCCGGGGCAGCCCTTGGCCTCTGTCACCCTGGGAAGGCCTAGGACTCAACTTTTGGCCCCACCCTGAGCTGCTGCTTGCCCAGGGTCAGCCCTTCATGACCCCCTTCCCTGGGGGGCAAATCTTGTCTGTCCCTGGGGATGAGAAGGTCCTGCTGCAGAGCTCATGTGTGGGGAGCACGCTGTGGCTGCCAGCTCCCCGTGTTGCCCCCGCTCCCAGGTCTACAGTGCTACCAACGTGAAGCTGGTGACACGCACGTGCACAGAGCACCTGTCGGATCAGGACAAGTTGAGAAGCAAAGGTAAGCGCAAGTACACTGCCTGCCGCCTGGTCGGCCCCTGCCCCGGCTGGGGTGTTGGATTCCGCTGTTCTCATCTGCCCCCCAGGGCCAGGGCTGCCTGGGGACAGCGACCTCTGTCATGGGCTCCACTTCAGCCCTTCCTGCAGATGGCTCAGCAACACTCCTCACGCCCTGGGGTGAGCCAGGCGGCGCCAGGGCTGGCAGGGTGCCGGATGTACGTCGTGGGTGCTGCGTGCCACCCTGGGACCCCCCAGGTGTCCCTCCAGTAGGGCCGCCAGCCCAACCAAGCCCACAGGCATTTCCCCCAAGGACTACTTGGACCCCAGCTTCAGCCCGCAGTCCCAGAACATTGGCTACCCCACTGAGATGTCCAGCAGAGGGCAGAGGTGAGGCCTGACAACTGCCTCCACTACTACCAGTCCAGTTGGGCCTGCACCCAGGTAGCAAGGGCCCTTTTCATGCACCCCACTTCTCCCTGGACTGGTTGGTCCACAGCCTAGCCTGGCCGGTAAACCAGTGTCACTTTGATGAGCGGGTGTCTGGCTGGCTGCAGGGCGGCACTGCCCATGTGGGGTTGTAATTCTGACTGCTGAGCACCTGGGGTGGGGGCATGCAACGCCCTCCCCACCACAAGGCAAAGCTCATTTCCCTCTCTGTGGAACAAGAAGTCACACACTTGCCCGCCACCCCCACAAGTTCCTAGTGCGTGGGTGTCAGCGTCTACAGTGGACAGGCGCTCTCCTGGCCAGCTCACGTGGCTACCCCGTGCTGCGGCCAGGATTCTGGCCCCGGCAGTGCCCGTGACAGTGAACATGGGGCAGAGCATGAGGCGCCAGGCCAAGGAGGGAGCTGGAGAGGGGGTCTGGGAAGGGGCCCAGTGAGAAACCTCAGCTTGGGTCCCGACTTCCTCTTCCAGACCAAATGAACGCCCCAGACCCCCCCCCAAGCAGTCAGGGCCGGGGGTGTGGGGCAAGTGAGTGGAGAACGGGGAGGAAGGTACAAATGTGGGCAGGTGAGCCTAGGTGGCTACAGCGACCCCTCATGGAGGCGGGCAGCCAGCAGCCCCTGACCCCGTGCTGTGGTTGCGGGGCAGGTTCTGGGCGATGCTATGGCTGAGCGAGGAGCACTCACTATCCCTGGGTGGCCAGGTCACACCCCTCGTTGACCTCATGCCGGGCTTTCACGTCAAGATTGGTGAGTAGGCAGGGCAGGGTGGGGGCCCCTGAGGTCCACCCGGCTGCAAGCGGTCAGCCCTGGCCATTTTCTGTTGCATGTGCTCAATGCCCACGTCACCTTCTGTAACTCCATGTGGACGCCGGCCTCCAGCCCACCCACAGCAGGTGCAGGTACTGCAGGGAGGCCAAGCGGGGCCGTGCAGCTGTGGCCCCCTCCTGTGCGCCCTGAAGCGGAGTGGGAGTGTCCCCACTTCCCATGCTGTCCACGCAGGGAGTCCTTTCCCGTGTGAGGTGGACCCCGCCGTGCCTGAGGTACCTGTGGGGTACAGCGTGCTGGGCACGGATCGGAGTGAGCCCCTGTGTGACGAGGACAGCGAGCTGCTGCACAGAGGCCGAGCAGCTGGGCTGTGGCAGGGGCAGGGGAGGGCAGGTGGCAGGGTGACGGGTGACTGCTGCAGCCGTGCCTGCCTGGCAGGACCCAGGGGACCATCTGGGCTCTGCTGCCACTCCAGGTGACTGTCTGGGAAGCGCTGAGCAACACAGGGCAGGACGCCCAGCCCCTGCTCCAGGCTGAGGCTACGAGGAACAGCTGGAGCAGTGAGGCCTTCTCAGGACCCACGGGACCTCTGCAGTCACCTACTGTTCCATGACCCATGGGGACCCTGCCTTAAGCCAACACATGGCCCTGTGTGACACAGTAGGTCGCTGGGAGGTGCCAGCTCCAGGAGCAGGTCAACTCTCTCCCAAGGCCACTACCAAGGCTGGCCTGAGGGCCAGACCCTCCTGTCTCTTCTGGCCCTCCATCCTCCACCAACACGTGCCCATCACCCCTCGGCTTCCTTTGCCCACCCACCCAGCCACCACCTTATCCTTGTGCCCTACCTGTCACCTCGGCTTGATAGGACACTCCAGGAAAGCCTGCAGCTGTCCACCGGGCCCAGGGAACCTGCATTCCCCCCAGAAGACACCCCGACCCTGGCCCTGGCCCCTCCGACCTTTGAGGAGCAGCTTTGCCTGGCCCTGGAGCTGTCCGTTCAGGAGCAGGAGGACCTGCCCGTTCAGGAGCAGGAGGACCTGCTGGGGGGCAGCAGCTGTGGCTCACCAAGCACTGAGCTCAGGCCCGGATCCCTAGAGATGCGTTGGGGCGCCTGTTCCTGCCTGATATTTCAGACTGTTTATTTGTAAACTGCTGTTGCAATGGCAGCAGCGTTGGGAGACTGGAGCCCTGTGGGCGGGCAGCGAGCAGAGACAGAAAGACTGCTGGCGGTGGGCTGCAGCAGGGGCGGGAATGGGCAGACCTGCCGGGCCTTGAGCTCCCACACACCCGCTTCCGAGAGCTGACCTAGGGAGCCGCTGTTCCCCCGACCGCGTCGCACCCCGCTGCAGACACAGCTTTTCTCCCCAGGCACCCAGCAAGGGGAGAGGCTGGGCCTCGGGACTCAACTCCATCCAGCAGCCCTCCCTCCCCTGTCTCCCACTGTGTAGGGCGGAGCGGGCGGGGGAGGAGGCGGTCAGCCGTGCCCCGCTCACCTCCAAGGTGGGCCTGAGATTCCCTTGGGAATTTTGGGAATTTCAAGGGTCGTTTCCGCGTCTTGGGAGATTTCCTCTAAAGCTTCCTGATTGATCGGTGCAGGCTGGAAAATCCACAGCCCGCAGCAAGGAGGCGTCGGTTTGGGGACCCCCTACCGATTGCGGGGCGCACCTCTGCCGAGTGTTAGCTGGGCAGGGGCTAGGAACAGCTCGGCGATCCGGGCGGCGCGGGGAGGCGAGGACACCTCCTGGCTCCTGGGTGCGAGGTCCGGCTCCACACCTGCGCCCCGCCTCCGTGACGCCCCGCCCCCCGGCGGGGAGGGGCCGCGGCCCAACTGGCCGCTCGGCAGGCCGGGCTGGGCGCGAGTCTGGCCCTTTAAGGGCCGCCCTCGAGGAGGTGCCAGGTCCTGTGGCTCCGGTCTGGGCTTCCTGGTCCTGCGGGCTAGGAACTGTGCGTGGGACCGTGGGGAGAGGCCGTGTCCGGTGGCCGCCCCGGGCTGGCCCCATGGCCCTGGTCACTGTGAGCCGCTCGCCTCCGGCCAGCGGCCACTCCACACCCGTAGGGCCCACGGTGAGTCTGCTCCGCTGTGAACCTGCCCACGCAGTTGGCTGCCAGCTGGGCCTGGGCGTGGGGAAACTCATGCTGCCCACGGACGGCCTCCCCAGGAGCCTGGGGTGTGCAGAGTCGGGGGGCTTCAAAGCTCAAGCCGGAGGGGAGTGGGGGGATTGTAGAGGCAGAAGGAGCTCCACCCCGTGGCGGGCAGCCAGCCTGGGCAGGGAGGCCCGGAGCTGGGCTCACCCGACCCGCACTGGCCAGGCGCTGGCGCTCACAGGGCCTGGAGGGGAGAGAGCAGGGGTGGCAGGGAGGGAGCTGGGGTCTGACGCCCTGCTTGGAAGAGCAGGACCATCCCACCCAGCAGTCCTGGCAGGAGAGAGGAGGGCCCCTGCCCACTCCTTGCCCCCATGGGGTTACTTTCTTCACAGGACCAGCCCATCAAGCAGAGGAGCCGGCTCCAGCGCAGGTGAGCCAGCACCTTGTGCCCACACAGAAACCTCCACTCGCGTCCAGCCCTGGGCCTGGCACTGCCCTCCTGGACTCCCAGGGCCCCGGACGGAAGCCTCTGCCGGAGGAGTGTCAGCTGGGCTGGTGGGCCTGGCGGGCTTGCGGTGGAACCGGCCCGGCCACCTCCCTGAGCTCACACCTGTCTCCTTCCTTACGTGTGCTCTTTGACCCACTGGGCCTGGACCAGGAAGGCAGGCAGGGCAGGCAGGGCCAGTGGACTCCTGCCCCCAGCCCAATGTGTGGCTCGTCCCAAGGGGGCAAGTGTTGGGGGGGGGTGTGGCCGCCCCTCCTCCCTCCCTCAGCTTGAGCTTGAGCCCAGGTGTTCCTACCCACCCCCTTTCTAACGACCCCTCCCCCACCATGGACCACCCCCTCTGCCAGGCAGAGCTTCGCTGTACTGCGTGGGGCCGTCCTGGGACTGCAAGACGACGATGACGGAGACCATGACAAGGATGCCACCGAGGAGGCCAGCATGGAGCTGGAGCCGGGCGAGGAGCAGCCCGTTGCAGACCAGACGGACGGGCAGGGGTCCCAGAAGCAGGGGCCGAGCCAGCACCTGCACCACATGGTGGAGCTGCTGAGGCCTCAGGATGACATCCGCCTGGTGAGGGGCCCCTTCCCACCGCGCAGCCTGTTCTCTGCCCACCGGGACTCTGGAGGCCCCAGTGATGCTGTATGCTGGGGCCAGTGGGGCCAGGCTAGGGCCAGGAGCTGGGCACGGCAGCTGGGGGCAGGGGCTCAGAGTTGACTCTGTACCCCTGTGGACAGGAACAGGGACTCGCATTCCCAGAGGGGTGGGTTCTGAGTGGGGAGCTGCTGCCCTGTGGCAACGTGTGCATGGGGGGACTACCCAGCAAGTGTACCTGGGATACATGCCCCCACCTCTGGGCCCTCCACCTCCCCACCCCTGCTTCTCACAGGCTCTCCTCAGGGCCTCAGAAGCATTTTTGCAGGACCATTCAGTCCTAGAGTTGAGAACCACTGGATTGTTGTCGCTGATCTGGGAGGTGGGAGACTGGGGAGAAACAGGGAGCAGGGATGCCCACCAGCCATGCCCGGTCTTTCCCAGGCGGCACAGCTGGAGGCAGCCCGGCCCCCGCGGCTGCGCTACCTGCTGGTGGTTTCCACGCGGGAACCTTCGAGCCAGGATGAGACGGTCCTCCTGGGGGTGGATTTCCCAGACAACAGGTGGGAGCAGAGGAGGAGGGGGGCGGGGGGCAGGCACGTGAGGGGCCTAGGGGCCACAGCTCTCCCTCTGTCCCCGCCAGCTCCTCCAGCTGTACCCTCGGCCTGGTCTTGCCCCTCTGGAGTGACACCCAGGTGTACCTAGATGGAGATGGGTAAGATGTGGCACCTGGAGAGAGGGCACCTGGGAAGAGGCCAGGTGCCTGGGGCCTCCTCTTGCTTCTCCCTGCCTCCGTCTGCTGGCCCAGCCACCTGGTCTGGCCCTGGGTAGACTCTGGGTGACGCATGTAGAGCTTGTCCCACCCCCCACCTGGTCTCCTGCAGGGGCTTCAGCGTGACGTCCAGGGGGAAGAGCCACATCTTCAAGCCCATTTCCGTCCAGACCATGTGGTGAGGGCTGGGTGTCGCCTTGGGAGAAGCCTGCAGGCTTCCCAGTGAGGACAGCAATGACCATGCTGTCCCTCTCCTGCCAGGGCCACATTGCAGGTGTTGCACCAAGCCTGTGAGGCAGCACTGGGTGGCGGCCTGGTACCTGGGGGCAGCGCCCTTGCCTGGGCCACTCACTATCAAGAGAGACTCAACTCTGACCAGAACAGCATCAATGAGTGGATGACCATGGCCGACCTGGAGTCTCTACGGCCTGCCAGCGCCGAGCCCGGCCGGTCAGTGGGCAAGGCCTTGGCGGGGGGTGCAGTGAGGAGGGGGAGGGCAGTCCTTGACTGGGGGCTGTGCTCCCAGACCCTCTGAACAGGAGCAGATGGAGCAGGCCATCCGGGCAGAGCTGCGGGAGGTGCTAGCCACCTGTGACCTGGAGAGCATCACTTCCAAGGAGGTGAGCAGGAGGCCAGGGTATACGGACTTGGCGCTGGGAGCTGAGCGCTGGCCTCTCCTGGGAAACCCTGCCACCTTGCTTTCCCATTCCCAGATGCCCTGGTGGGGACTGTGCTCCTTGGGAGGCCCCAGAGGGACAGGGCGGGGCAGAAGCGGGGGAGTGTCAGGAGACCCACCAAGCCTGCGCTCCCCGCTGGCTCCCCACTGCAGATCCGCCAGGCCCTGGAGCTACGCCTGGGCCGGCCTCTGGAGCAGTACCGAGACTTCATCGACAACCAGACGCTGCTGCTCATGGCCCAGCAGGACAAGGCCTCTCGCATCTTCCCCCACCTCTACCTGGTGAGCTGCCCACTGCGGGCCGGGGCAGGGTGGGGAAGCAGGCAGCTGGCCCTGGGCTGCAGGGCGTGGACACGCATCCCTGGCTCCCACAGGGCTCCGAGTGGAATGCCGCGAACCTGGAGGAGCTGCAGAGGAACAGGTAGCACTACTGTGGTGAGCCCTCTCACACGCGCCCACCCCCACCCCACCTGCCCCATCACAGGCAGCCCGGGGAGCACCAGAAGCCTCCAGATCTTCCCTCAGTAGCTGCTGGCCCCTGTGCAAGCTGTCCTGCCAGGTCACGCTGGCAACCTGCTGCCTGGCAGGCCAGCCCTGGCCCGGCCTCTGCGCCCATAATGGACAGCAGGTGCAGAAATGAGGGTTGGTGAGGGGAGCAGCGTCTGTCACTGGGGCGGCCTTTGCCTCCATGGCTGACCCTGTCCCCATAGGGAGAGTTAGTTACGCTTCTCCTAGTGGGTGCCCGGCCCCGTAACCCCACCGTAACCCCACTGCGGAGCTGCCATTCTCAGCTGAGCCAGAGTGCAGCTCTCTCGCTCACTTCCGGGAAAACGGAAGGGGACCTTTGCTGTCCATACGAGGTTGGCGTCAAGCCCAGCAAATCATGGTCCCCTCCCCCCGGCCCATCCCACCTCTCCCCCTGGCTGGCTCAGCTATCCCATCTGACTCTCACGGAACCCGGGCCATGCCCGCTGCCATGGCCTCGGGCCCTCTGGTTTAGGGTCAGCCACATCTTGAACATGGCCCGGGAGATTGACAACTTCTACCCCGATCGCTTCACCTACCACAACGTGCGCCTGTGGGACGAGGAGACGGCCGAGCTGCTCCCGCACTGGAAGGAGACACACCGCTTCATCGAAGCGGCGAGGTCAGGCCCCTGCTGGCCCCCGGCTGCCCCTCAGCCCACCTGCGTGGCACCCGGCTGTCCGTCCTCCCTTTCTTCCACTCCATCTGGCCCTGCCAGTTCGGGACGAGGGGGGACGCTGCTGCTATTTCCTGCTCCCATAGGGCCCAAGGCACATGTGTCCTTGTCCACTGTAAGATGGGTGTCAGCCGCTCGGGTGCCACTGTGGTGGCCTACGCCATGAAGCAGTATGGCTGGAGTTTGGAGCAGGCCCTGCGACACGTGCAGGAGCTGCGTCCCGTCGTGCGCCCCAACCCCGGCTTCCTGCGCCAGCTGCATACCTACCAGGGCATCCTGACAGCCAGGTGGGAGAGGAGGCCGTGGGGTGTGGGGACG